TCCCAGTCCCTGCTGCTGAAAAACATCCCCACAGCATAATGCTGCCACCACCATGCTTCACCATAGGGATGGTGCCAGGTTTCCTCCAGACGTGACGCTTGGCATTCAGGCCAAAGATTTCAATCTTGGTTTCATCAGACCAGAGAATCTTGTTTCTCATGGTCTGAGTCTTTAGGTGCCTTTTGGCAAACCCCAAGCGGGCTGTCATGTGCCTTTTACTGAGGGGTGGCTTCTGTCTGGCCACTCTACCATAAAGGCCTGATTGGTGGATTGCTGCAGAGATGGTTGTCCTTCTGGAAGCTTCTCCCATCTCCACAGAAGAACTCTAGAGCTCTATCAGAGTGACCATCGAGTTCTTGGTCACCTCCCTGACCATGGCTCTAATCCCCCGATTGCTCAGTTTGGCCGGGCGGCCAGCTCTAGGAAGAGTCTTGGTGGTTCCAAACTTCTTCCATTTAAGAATGATGGAGGCCACTGTGTTCTTGGGGACCTTCAACGCTGCAGACATTTTTTGGTACCCTTCCCCAGATCTACTCAGTGTCTCTTTGTATAACTGTTAAAACAGCAGAGGAGAGTAATGTCTCTTCTTTCTTTAGCCTTTTCTACTTCCAGCTGCTGTCGTCATTCCCCCAGGTGGCCAGCTTTGTTCGTCAGCAATGCATCTCATTAAAGCTGCTGAGAAAAACACATTTGAAGGGGAACGCTCACTGTGAGGGCCGAGGGGACACAGAGAAGTGTTGTGATTGGACAATAGGATCCCAGCAGAAATCTATACAGTAGAAACTACACATGAATCTGAAAAATCCTGAAATGAAAGCGTAAAGATTTAATGAGAATGGGATATACTGTAGATGGTTGATTTTACGGTGGTAGCCGCAGGTTCCATTTTTGGCAAGTGGAACCCAGCATCTCCTCTCATGATGACCATTTACCGAGAATAACTACTGTAACAAACCAACCCTTATTGGAGCAGTATTTAGCAGGTCTGCCTACGGGCTGGGAGACCAAGGTTTGAGGCCCACCGTGGTCATTCGCAAAAATTGCTACACTATCAAATAAAAAGCCCTCTTACATTCAATTGTCATGATTTTATTAATCTTCGGTCAATTTATTAAGGCAATCCATTACAAAGAATTTCACAAAACCACAGAATGACAACAATTATGTCCAACGTCTGGTTTGGAAAAGTATTCTTCATCATCAGCATGCAAACCGGAGACCAAGAGGAGGTACACACTGTAAAGCATTGATATACAATGACATGTCATTCTGTTTCTATGCTGTATACACCCTAGGTCAAAGTATAAATAGTGACAAGGAGAAGCAAAAAAAGATGACCTATCTAGGAAAATACAAATAAAATGGGAAATACAGGGATGCAACATGCTAGGTGACTGCTGTTTCTACTGTAGATACAGTATCATCATCACATTTTAGCAGACGCTCTTATCCAGAGCGACTTACAGTTAGTGAGTGCATACATTATTTTATATACTGGCCCCCCGTGGGAATCAAACCCACAACCCTGGCGTTGCAAACGCCATGCTCTACCAACTGAGCTAAATCCCCGCAAGCCATTCCCTCTCCTACCCTGGACCAATTGTGCGCCGTCCCATGGGTCTCCCGGTCGCGGCCGGCTACGACAGAGCCTGGATTCGAACCAGGATCTCTAGTGGCACAGCTAGCACTGCGATGCTGTGCCTTAGACCACTGTGCCACTTGGGAGGCAATCATCACCATCACCATCACCATCATCATCACCATCATCACCATCATCACCATCACCATCATCATCATCTTTATCATACGCAACAAATGGCTCAGCCTATCAAAGGCCATCAGTAAGCTGAGATGAGGAGCAGGGACCAACAAAACTTGTTGCCATTTTGGCACAAACATGCACATTATCTAAAGGGGCTAATTTCAAACGGAACATCTTTGGACATCTTTTGGATACCAAGTGTCTTCATGTTAAAAGTTCAGACTCCAGTGGAGACAGTTTTAAAAGTTGTTTTGAAATGCATAGTCTCTCTCAATTGCTTTGCTAACCCAACACAAAAATATCTTTACATAATTTTACAAAATAACAATAAAACCTCACTTTCTTTAACTGCTATTCCACATCTCTTTCTAATCACTGTGTCAATGTACTTTGGGGGAATTTAAACAATCCTCCACTATCCCACCGAACTAAAATAAACGGCAGCAAATAAGTTAACAGATTCAAAAGATAACGTCCTTTCTTTACTATGAATTTTTGCTCATACCTTGAGGCAATGTAAATATACAGGTAGGATCATAATTTGATCACCCAGTTGCAGAAGAACATTTGAGGTTTAAAAAGGCTTCTGAAGTTTATAATTTCCACTTTGAAATTGCAGACTTGATGAACAATGTATCAACCCCTACAAATGTATGATAATCCACATCATATTTCACATTTCCTGTTGCTGCATGATTATTTTCCTGCAGTGGCAAATTGGCTCAAATTAAGATCCTACAGTATGAAAAATTTATGCACTCACTAACTGTAAGTCACTCTGGATAAGAGCGTCTGCTAAATGACTCAAAATGTAAATACATCTGGTTAAATTGTAAACAAGTGCTGACTTTGAAAAAAAAAAAAAAGTATTTACTTATTTGTCATACATGCAGTATACTGCCACTACATTTATAAAATCGATTTAATGCGTGCATTGTTCTCATTCAATACGAAGGTGTAATAGCAAACTTGAAAGAACATACAGTAAGTCTGTTGTTGCAGATGCAATGATAATACGTAGTCATTTTTTTCTTTTTTTTAAACCTTTTTTTTCAGTTGGCTTTGCTGTACATATGAAACAGTTATCATTCCAGACATTAGGAATCATATCTTCGTATAATAAAATATGGGAAGGGAACCGTTGCTAACAAAATAAAATAAGGGAAATCTAATCTGGATATGCAAGAGTGTCCATACTGTAGGCACATTGGGATAGAGCTATTGGATTATTGTGATCTATCTGTGAGTAAATAGTGGGCTTGCTGAACGTGCCACTGTACATTGTAGGACTGCGTTGGCATGGTGGCAATTTCATGTTTGTTTTGACACATTACACACTTCGTTCCACTGTAGAAAAGACTTGGGCAATCAATAGTGTAGACAGATTATCCTTCTGGTGTGTCCCCTCTACGGGAGTTTAACCTGGTCAGACTGAAGAGACAGAGACAGTGCTGCTCCGCTGTGTGCTCAGGAAACTACTACTTCAATATGGCAATATGGCAAGAACTTAAATATGACAATGCATCAACAACTTAAACATGGCACTGCATCAACAACTTAAACATGGCTAGATATAACAGGGTGGCAGGTAGCCTAGCGGTTAAGAGCGTTGGGCCAGTAACCGAAAGGTCGCTGGAATCGAATTCCCTTTGCCGACTAGGTGAAAAAGCTGTCGGTGCCCTTGAGCAAGGCACTTAAACCTAATTGCTCTTGTAAGTCGCTCTGGATAAGAGCGTCTGCTAAATGACTAAACTGTAAAACGTGGTTCGGAACAATGCACACACGATGAGTAACCTTGTCCGAACACCTGAAGACTTGTGTTGGCTCCTTGAGCTAACTGCTTAATCTCAGCAACACCAACCACAGCAAAATACAATGGGAAGGATTATACCAACCAAGATACGTGTGGATGCAGCTGGCTAGATGACATACCTCGCTACACACTAATACTATGGAAATACTATGCCTTTGAAGATGTGGCTCTGGTCGTGCATGACCAGATGTTTAAACAATAATAATGCAGAATGTGAAGTAGCTCAATTGGTAGAGCATGGCGCTTGTAACGCCAGGGTAGTGGGTTTGATCCCTGGGACCACCCATACGTAAAAATGTATGCACACATGACTGTAAGTCGCTTTGGATAAAAGCGTCTGCTAAATGGCAAATTTAAATAGATTCATTCTCATTCGTGACAATGTTCTAGAACTGGAAGACATTTCCATTTTGTAGCTGTGCAATCCTTTCCATTGTCTTTGAGGGGTAGCTGTTGGTTGCTAGGATATAATTATGGTATATATTTCATCTTATCAATATATGTCTTGTATATGACCTTTGTGCTTTTTATTTGGACTGTTAGTGCATTTTGTTGATACCTATTGTAAATGTATAGGGTAAGTATGTCTTGTACAGGGTGCAGGATGTTAAACTATCATACAAACATCTGGTCATCTGTATAACTGTTACAGTCAAAAATGTAAAAGCATTCATCTTCATCTTTTACAACTATTCCTAAACAGTTGGATAGTTTATATCTATCACATGCTTTATATTACAGTACTCTTCAAAGTATAAATGAACAATTATTTATAGCATTGATCCCCCCCCCAAAAAAATGGGATGGGAAAATAAGAGGAAAAATATGATGACTTTGGATCCCCAACATGAATAGATGCTGTTGTTTTCACAATAAATACGTCATTATACAGACGATTCCTTAGTCCAACGTACACCACCACTCTAAAATGTATCATATACACGAAAATGATAGAAACGGGCACATTCTAATAATGAATGTCCTCAAAAACACCCTCTCCATGTAAGGAATGCTACCCTACGGAATCACCACTTTGACACCTCTGCATGCTAACATCTAACATTCATTTACATCACTGATCTCTTTTTCTCCTCTCTCCTCCTCCTCTGTGCCTCTCCACTTCTCATCACCCTCTCTGCCCTTCCATCAGGAGATGAAACTCAAAAGGAAAACTCTCTGATCGTCAGCTTTTTCCTCAAAGCAAAGTCTGTCTGAGTCTCGCTCCAAACAAAATGGAGTCTTATCAATTCGTTCAGCGTGACAACCAGATGAATATTTAAAGAAGAAGAAAAAAACTGCCTTGAAGCACTTCCACATTTCCATTTTGCATTCCTCTATGAGGGGGTCCACCATCCAGGCTACCACCCATCCTACCGTGACCTCCTTCCCCAGGGTTGGCGCCTCAGATGGGGGTAGGTCTGGGGCTCAGATAGGGGTGGTCTGGGTGTGGTCCTGGTCTTCAGGGCCTGGTTCCTCATAGGGTGGAGGCAGGGGGCAGGGTTTGATACCTCTATTCTTCATGTAGAGGATGAGCTGATCAGGGATCTCAGCCAGGACATCTTTGGCTAGCCGGGCCATACTCAACACGTGGTTCCCTGTCCGGTCCATGTAGTCTCTGAACGGGACAAACTATATGGGGACAGAGAGAGAGGTAGCGTTTCTATAGCACTTTGATCTGTTTATAACTTGAACAATGCAAACGCTCAAATGGCAAATGGGTGACAATGTTTACTGTTATTTAAATTCAGAACAATTTCGTCAAGTGAAACTATGTCAGATTGCTGGGAAAGGGGGTGAATAGGGGTGTGGGATTTTTCACAAATGGCACCTTCCTATAATGATGTGACTGTTCTGTGACATGAGTCCCCCCCCCCCCCATCAGTGTGTGTGTTATGGTCAGAAGGGGAAGTAAGCTCTACCTGTACAATGTCTCTCTCTGCTAGCTTCCCTCGTGAGGAGATTCTGATGTCATCACCGTCAAGCTCCACCATGGCTGCACAGAAGAGAAAAAGAGGCACCAGTTTAACCCTCTACTGTCTGGGTGAGTGACCCTTCATAGTGGCTTATAACACCAGTTTAACCCTCTACTGTCTGGGTGAGTGACCCTTCATAGTGGTTTATAACACCAGTTTAAAACTCTACTGTCTGGGTGAGTGACACTTCATAGTGGCTTATAACACCAGTTTAACCCTCTACTGTCTGGGTGAGTGACACTTCATAGTGGCTTATAACACCAGTTTAACCCTCTACTGTCTGGGTGAGTGACCCTTCATAGTGGCTTATAACACCAGTTTAACCCTCTACTGCCTGGGTGAGTGACACTTCATAGTGGCTTATAACACCAGTTTAACCCTCTACTGTCTGGGTGAGTGACCCTTCATAGTGGTTTATAACACCAGTTTAACCCTCTACTGTCTGGGTGAGTGACACTTCATAGTGGCTTATAACACCAGTTTAACCCTTTACTGTCTGGGTGAGTGACCCTTCATAGTGGTTTATAACACCAGTTTAACCCTCTACTGTCTGGGTGAGTGACCCTTCATAGTGGCTTATAACACCAGTTTAACCCTCTACTGTCTGGGTGAGTGACACTTCATAGTGGCTTATAACACCAGTTTAACCCTCTACTGTCTGGGTGAGTGACACTTCATAGTGGCTTATAACACCAGTTTAACCCTCTACTGTCTGGGTGAGTGACCCTTCATAGTGGTTTATAACACCAGTTTAACCCTCTACTGTCTGGGTGAGTGACCCTTCATAGTGGCTTATAACACCAGTTTAACCCTCTACTGTCTGGGTGAGTGACCCTTCATAGTGGCTTATAACACCAGTTTAACCCTATACTGTCTGGGTGAGTGACCCTTCATAGTGGCTTATAACACCAGTTTAACCCTCTACTGTCTGGGTGAGTGACCCTTCATAGTGGCTTATAACACCAGTTTAACCCTCTACTGTCTGGGTGAGTGACACTTCATAGTGGCTTATAACACCAGTTTAACCCTATACTGTCTGGGTGAGTGACCCTTCATAGTGGCTTATAACACCAGTTTAACCCTCTACTGCCTGGGTGAGTGACACTTCATAGTGGCTTATAACACCAGTTTAACCCTCTACTGTCTGGGTGAGTGACCCTTCATAGTGGTTTATAACACCAGTTTAACCCTCTACTGTCTGGGTGAGTGACCCTTCATAGTGGCTTATAACACCAGTTTAACCCTCTACTGTCTGGGTGAGTGACCCTTCATAGTGGTTTATAACACCAGTTTAACCCTCTACTGTCTGGGTGAGTGACCCTTCATAGTGGCTTATAACACCAGTTTAACCCTCTACTGTCTGGGTGAGTGACCCTTCATAGTGTCTTATAACACCAGTTTAACCCTCTACTGTCTGGGTGAGTGACCCTTCATAGTGGCTTATAACACCAGTTTAACCCTCTACTGTCTGGGTGAGTGACCCTTCATAGTGGTTTATAACACCAGTTTAACCCTCTACTGTCTGGGTGAGTGACCCTTCATAGTGGTTTATAACACCAGTTTAACCCTCTACTGTCTGGGTGAGTGACCCTTCATAGTGGTTTATAACACCAGTTTAACCCTCTACTGTCTGGGTGAGTGACCCTTCATAGTGGTTTATAACACCAGTTTAACCCTCTACTGTCTGGGTGAGTGACCCTGCATAATGGCTTATAACACCAGTTTAACCCCTCTACTGTCTGGGTGAGTGACCCTTCATAGTGGTTTATAACACCAGTTTAACCCTCTACTGTCTGGGTGAGTGACCCTTCATAGTGGTTTATAACACCAGTTTAACCCTCTACTGTCTGGGTGAGTGACCCTTCATAGTGGTTTATAACACCAGTTTAACCCTCTACTGTCTGGGTGAGTGACCCTTCATAGTGGTTTATAACACCAGTTTAACCCTCTACTGTCTGGGTGAGTGACCCTTCATAGTGGCTTATAACACAAGTTTAACCCTCTACTGTCTGGGTTAGTGACCCTTCATAGTGGCTTATAACACCAGTTTAACCCTCTACTGTCTGTGTGAGTGACCCTTCATAGTGGCTTATAACACCAGTTTAACCCTCTACTGTCTGGGTGAGTGACCCTTCATAGTGGCTTATAACACCAGTTTAACCCTCTACTGTCTGGGTGAGTGACCCTTCATAGTGGCTTATAACACCAGTTTAACCCTCTACTGTCTGGGTGAGTGACCCTTCACAGTGGCTTATAACACCAGTTTAACCCTCTACTGTCTGGGTGAGTGACCCTTCATTGTATGCAACAGCTGTGAATTGGTTTTAGAACCCTGCCGTTTGACATCTACTCATTAACTACGGAATTCCACCAAACTGAATATTAGCTAAGATCAGTCACACTGAAACTGCCCGCTATAACCTCCTACCTGAATTCTATTGCATTATTTACAGTACATTCAAAGACAGAACACAGCGTATTTCACAGAGGGCTTTCTTATTTGAGTTCTGTTGATTATTTATGCGAATGTATGAGTCGTTATGTCCTCAGCATGTGTCAAGGACTTAGACATTGTGTGAATGTGTTTTCTTTCTCTGTGCCCCATAGTGAAATAATACTCTTTCTGACCAGCAGCAGCTTACAAAAGTCTATTTTAAATAAATGTTCATTTCCCCACTAAAAACCATGCACTGAGTATACAAAACATTATGAACACCTGCTTTTTAAATGCAGGTGAAAGCTATGATCCCTTATTTATGTTAAATCAACTTCAATCAGTGTAGATGAAGGGGAGGAGACAGGTTAAAGAAGGATTTTTAAGCCTTGAGACAATTGAGACGATGTGCCCTCAGTGGGTGAATGGGCAAGACAAAATATTTAAGTGCCTTTAAACAGGGTATGGTAGTAGGTGCCAGGCGCCAGGCACATCAGTTTGTATCAAGAACTGCAACGCTGCTGGGTTTTTCACGCTCAACAGTTTCCTGTGTGTATCAAGAATGGTCCACCACCCAAAGGACATCCAGTCAACTTGACACAACTGTGGGAAGCATTGACGTCAACATGGGCCAGCATCCCTGTGGAACGCATTTGACACCTTGTAGAGTCCATGCCCAGACGAATTGAGGCTGTTTTGAGGGTGAAAGGGGGGAGGTGTGCAACTCAATATTAGGAAGGTGTTCCAAATGTTTGGTATACGGGCGGCAGGTAGCTTAGTGGGTAAGAGAGTTGTGCCAGTAACCAAAAGGTCGCTGGTTCTAATCCCTGAGCCGACTAGGTGAAAAATCTGGCGATGTGCCCTTAAGCAAGGAACTTAACCCTAATTGCTCCTGTAAGTCGCTCTGGATAAGAGCATCTGCTAAATGCTGTAAATGTAAAATTTACTTGACATTGCTATCTGCTAATTAAGAATAAAAACAACAAAATATAAATATCATGAAAGCATTATGAGGGGGGTCAATCTCACCATCAAACTCAGCTTGGCCGACTCCGACAATGATGATAGACATTGGAAGCTTAGCAGCCTATGGAGAACAAACAGTGACAAAGAAAGAAATAGATTTCATGTGATATTATTCTGACAAGGTGTTTTTGAGTTCTTACATGGGCAAAGCTTTAGTCATTAAATGCTCATACCGGTAGTTGTCTTTCTTCAATGTGTTTTGCTAACAAAAAAAAACGTTCTGAAGAGGACTGATGAAATATTAAAATCCATCACAAACCAATCTGACGCCCTCAAACAAAGCAGTTGATCATTATTCAAACTGTGTATAATGCATTGGGTTTATTCAGTGTCACAGCAACAGTGCCACTTCTTGTACAACATTATTCTCTAGTCTGCAGTCTGCTAATCCAGTCACACAGGGCAGAAAGACACAAGGAGACCATTGGACGAGAGACAATTAAATGTGCATGGCACAGACAAGATAACCGAAACACCGCATTTGCTGACAATTCCCTGCTTGCTGTTCGGCTCAGCTCTAGTTGGACAGTCAGTCTGAGGAAATCCATCAGAATTGCAAAAACAGAACGATTTGTCCATATCCAGCAGACTTCTCTGGAGGCTGAGAAATACATTCTCTTTAGCCATGTGTGGGTGGATGTCTCGCTGCCACAAGGAATAGCAGTTTTACAGTATACCATTTTTAAAAGTAAAAGATTTGAGACGGTCATGGAACATCTTGTCCAGGATAACTACTACTGTATAGCCAACATAATAGCACACAGTACAATATACAAAATATGCCGTTTAGCAGACGCTTTTATCCAAAGCGACTTACATGACTTACAGCCATGTGTGCATACAGCGTAGAAATATTATCTACAGTGTTAATACAATGTGTTCTGTGGAGAGCAAGTACAGAACCGAGGAGGAGAACTTAACGCAGCCTACAGTACATTAAGGTCCAAACACCCACTAATCAAAAATACTTACAATACATCTCTCCCTTCCCAACAGTGAAATACACTTCCACCATCTCTCATTTAGGATGCCTGGTACAGTGGCATGTATAGGAAATGTAATGTAAGTGACCAAAAAAAAAGCTGCTGCTTAAAACCAGCTAATGACGAACTGGTGCTTTCAAAGGGAAAGACGATGTGCATGAGCTCGTTTCAATGATCTAACATTGTCCTGTACTGTACACTGTACATCTGACTCCTCTCTGCTTATCTGAACTCTGTCTCTATCCCACTACATAATGCACCGGTCTGTGTTTTATCCTCCTGCCACCACCACCCACAGTTCCATGCAGCTGGTCTGCTGCCGTGTGTTACATCAGGGAGTTATACGGTAAAAGCTCTGTGGCATGAATGAATGATAAATGCCTGTGGTGAAAACACATTTGGACGCGGAGAAGATGGGGGGCGTGCATGCGTGCTCTCTCTCTCTCTCTCTCTCTCTCTCTCTCTCTCTCTCTCTCTCTCTCTCTCTCTCTCTCTCCTCTCTCTCTCTCTCTCTCTCTCTCTCTCTCTCTCTCTCTCTCTCTCTCTCTCTCTCTCTCTCTCTCTCTCTCTCTCTCTCACACTGACACTCTAACATCTTTCTCTATTTAATCAACACACCTGTATCAATAAACGCCACATCATATTTTCATGAAGACTGAACCACAAACAAACATTATTATTACTATAAACATACATTATTTAGTCAACAGTGTTAGTAACTTTACTTCTAACCCAAGGGATCCTACTCCAGCAAGCTGTTTAAATACCATCTATCTTTGGACTGCAAAAATAATTGCAAACCCTGCAACTTCGAATAGTTTGATCTATACCTGTCCCCGGCTGTAATAATATTTTTCAGCCTGCAGAAGCAAACCTGGAAGTTTCTAAAAACATTAAAATATTCATGAGTTTTATTCCAACCGTCCTCTGCATGACAAACCAGTCAGTGAGGCAGTCCCTCCCCCACCCTCCCCCACCCTCCCCCACCCTCCCCCATGACGTGTGTGAACTGCCAACACATTTTTTTTTGCGCTCCAAATGGCACCCCTTTGCCCTGTGTAGTGCACTAGTTTTGAGCAGGGTTCAAAGGGCTCTGGTTAAAAGTAGTGCACTAAATAAGGAATATGATGCCATTTGGGATACAGAGATGCAGTAGTGTAATAGTGGTCCAAATGAATTATGGGCCATGGGGATTCTACTGTTATATCCTAACAGAAAGGAAGAGAGTAGGCCCTCCTGTATAATTCACTGCCCTTAGAGGAGAGTTAAGTTAAGGAGAGACCTGTGAAACATCAAAGAGAGGGGTTGGAGCTAATATTTAGCCCAAAGGCTGGCCTGGTAAATGGGCCACAAGTGGGGAACTGGAGGGAAAGGTGGACTAAACTAAAGCAGCAGGATAGTACGGAAGAGTTCAAAGAATACAATTGGAGAAAACAACTGATTGCGGCAAAGGATTAAACTCCAAATAAACAAGTAATTCAGTCCTTTGCCCCTGTGTTGAGAATAGTGATTCTAGTTGACAGGACTGCAAAGGTGATGGCAGGACACAGAAAGCAGGGCCAAGGCAGCAGGTTAGAAGGCTTGGTTGAGTCAGATGCAGGTTAGAAGGCTTGGACAAGGCTGAGGCAGGTTAGAGTTAGAGGCTTGGCTGAGACAGGTTGGAGGTAGAGGCTTCGTTGAGGCAGGGTAGAAGACTTGGCTGAGGCAGATGCAGGTTAGAAGGCTTGGACAAGGCTGAGGCAGGTTAGAGTTAGAGGCTTGGCTGAGACAGGTTGGAGGTAGAGGCTTGGCTGAGGCAGGTTGGAAAGCTGAGGCAGGTTAGAAGGCTTGGTTCAGTTGAGACAGGTTAGAAGGCTTGGCTCAGTTGAGGCAGGTTAGAAGGCTTGGCTCAGTTGAGACAGGTTAGAAGGCTTGGCTCAGTTGAGACAGGTTAGAAGGCTTGGCTCAGTTGAGACAGGTTAGAAGGCTTGGCTCAGTTGAGACAGGTTAGAAGGATTGGCTCAGTTGAGGCAGGTTAGAAGGCTTGGCTCAGTTGAGGCAGGTTAGAAGGCTTGGCTCAGTTGAGGCAGGTTAGAAGGCTTGGCTCAGTTGAGGCAGGTTAGAAGGCTTGGCGGAGGCAGGATAGAGCAGCAGACAAGATCTTAAAAGGAAGGTGTGGCTGTTCTAATGGTTTGACTAACAGTCGCAAATTCCCTTTAAACCCAGTCTGCTGTGAGGTCAGAGGTTAGAGGTCATCAGAGGTCAGGATGCCGTGCCGCTCCCCCATTGGACAGTAGACACATTCTGTGTATTCCCACGGCCAGAGATACAAAGTGGATTCAAGGGACTCTTCACGTGGCAAACAAACATTTCAGAGAAGCCCACAAAAAAAAGTTAATGTAAAGTAAGGTGCTTAATAAACTAACTGATGTTCATATACAAAACCTTAAATTGGGTCAAACAAAAATAAAAGAACATCCAAACAACAGTGAAACAACTAGAGCGGATAATATAACTAAACATCGGCCTACTTCTTCAAATAAAGACGAGCGCTGACAAGAATGGCTCAAAGCAGCAGAAAAACAGACATTGACTTTGGCCTGGAGCTCACTGAGATAAAAGGCTGAGGTGCTTTAGTGAGTTAAAAGCACCCGTAAAGCCCTGCAGAGAGGGAGAGAAAGAGGGAGAAAGAGAGAGAAAGACAGAGAAACAGGGAGACAGAGGGCAGAGGAGGATTATGGGTAATGGGAACATCCAGCAGACCACTCACGTTGACGATGGCCCCCTTGGTCTGGGCCATGTCTGATATGACGCCATCTGTGATGATGAGGAGGACGAAGTACTGAGAGCCGTCCTGTACCGCCGCTGCGTACCTGGGAGAGAGAACAGATTCACAACAAGTTAGGGGCTCAAAGATAAGAATTACCCCCTTCCTACACTGATGATAACATACTGGTACATTATAGACGTCATGGCAGCAGTAGACATTCATTAACATAACGATTGAACTTAATCTACATTAAGGGCTAGATTCAATCGGTTGCACTGAAGATCTGCGTTGTAGCGCAATTGACATTTAAAGGGATACTTTGGCATTTTGGCAATAAGGCCCTTTAATCTATACTGAACAAAAATGTGACCAACCACCTTGATTCGGTCTCATGTAGCAAAATTTGAAATTGTGTTTTTTACATTTGATAAAAGCCGAGACACAGAGCTACAAAATTATATATCATACACTGCATTTAAGGGAACAATGGGAAAGTAATTCTGCTTTGAAAGTTGATAAACTTGTAATCTCACTTTTGAGAAAATGGCCTTTGAATGTTTTGGTACCTGGTGAAGAGCTCTTCTTTATCTACACCCATTCAGCATCGTTCACAGCCTCTTAAGCTTTAGCCCCACCCATTTCGTTTCGCTTTCGGAGCGTTCAGTGCGCACACTTCACGCTCTGGCCGATGAGTAGGGTTGATCCGAGCGTTCTGACCTCATAACGGCAGTCAAGCACCCAAGCTAACTGGCTAACATTGGCTAGCTTGCTATTTACTTTCAGCCACAAAATTGGGGTTATGGTTCATTGTTTACCTCTGGATAACATGAAAACAGCCTAACCAGCTCTTCTGGCAACAATGTAATTACGCTTTTTTGCCGATGTTTACTGACACCGGCCATATTCAACGGGTGTTGTGTGTTCGTAAATTCATCAGTTATTCTGCGCTCTGGCATACTCAGACTGAATTTACGAACACACCCAAAATGGTTACTTGCATAGTGGAGACTTTTGTTAAGACATGTAGCTAGCTAGCTAGGTAAACAATGAACCTAGCTAGGTAAACAACGTGTAAGATCATACATGCCACGTAACGTTAGCTAGCAAGTCAGCCAGCTAACATTAGCTAGTTAAACAATTAACCATAGTGCCAACTCATGACGTTACTACCCTGAATGAATCTGCTGGTAGCTAACCAACCAGGTTCAATGTTACCTAGCTAACATTAGGGTCTAACTAGCCAAGAAAACGGCTCTGAGATACGAATAATAACATCATACACGTAACATTAGCCAGCGAGCAAGCCAGCTAACGTTAGCTAGCTAGCTAACAGTACACTTTAACTTGAAATGAAACCACTTTCAGGCAAAATTAGAAACATGTAATATCTGAAAATGTGGCTAGCTAAACTATCTTACCCGTATACATCATGCATGATGGACGCGTCTCCCTGTCACGGATGCCATGGTTGCCCTTAGTTTGAAGATGTAATCCAGAGACAGGTGTTTTCTCCATCTCTTTAGCTATCATACTCTAATTCCACTGATTTCAAAACTCGATCCTCCAGATAGTGGAGAGCAACATTTATGCAGCTCCACTACACGATACATTTGAAAAAAGCCGCGTTAGACAGGATTACCTACACATGACCAGCTCAAATAGACAGAAGCCTTCTATATGGCAGACCAATCCGAACTCCTCTCTCGGCATGTCCAGCCCAATCATTATCTCAGCCAATCATGGCTAGTGGGAAGGTTGCTGTCTTTTTCTGCGGCTTAACCAACTAGGCTCGTAATTTAACCATTTTATTCAAATGTACAGTTGGCATACAAGTATTTTATTAAGGCACATGGAAGTTCACCTTCCAGAAGGCATTTCTGCCAAAAATTGCATTTTGATTTTAAGAAAGTTTAAGTTCAAATGGCTCTCCTGTGAAGTAGTGACCCGCGACATACGCCTAGTTTTTTTTAACGAGTGACAAATATAAACGCAACATGCAACAATTTAAAAGATTTTACTGAGTTACAGTTCATATAAGGAATTTAAATACATTAATTAGGCCCTAATCTATGGATTTCACATGACTGGGAATACAGACATGCATCTGTTGGTCACAGATACCTTTAAAAAAAGTAGGGGCGTGGATCAGAAAACCAGTCAGTATCTGCTGTGACCACCATTTGCCTCATGCAGCGCGACACATTTCCTTCGCATAGAGTTGATCAGGCTGTTGATTGTGGGCTTTGGAATGTTGTTCCACTCCTCTTCAATGGCTGTGCAAAGTTGCTGGATACTGGCGGGAACTGGAACACGCTGTCGTACACGTCGATCCAGAGCATCCCAAACATGCTCAATCGGTGACTTGTCTGGTGAGCATGCAGGCCATGAAAGAACTGGGCATATTCAGCTCCCAGGAATTGTGTACAGATCCTTGCGACATGGGGCTGTGCATTATCATACTGAAACATGAGGTGATGGCTGCGGATGAACGGCATGACTATGGGCCTCAGGATCTCGTCACGGTATCTCTGTGCATTCAAATTGCCATTGATAAAATGCAATTGTGTTCATTGTCCTTAGCTTATGCCTGCCCATACCATAACCCCAACGCCACCATGGGGCACTCTGTTCACATTGTTGACATCAGCAAACCGTTAGCCCACACAACGCCATACATGTGGTCTGCGGTTGTGAGGCCGGTTGAAAGTACTGCCAAATTCTCTAAAACGACGTTGGAGGTGGCTTATGGTAGAGAAATGAACATTCAATTCTTTGGCAACAGCTCTGGTGGACATTCCTGCAGTCAGTATGCCAATTGCATGCTACCTCAAAACTTTAGACATCTGTGGCATTGTGTTGTGTGACAAAACTGCACATTATACTGGCCTTTTATTGTCCCCAGCACAAGATGCACCAGTGTATTGATCATGCTGTTTAATCAGCTTCTTGATATGCCACACCTGTCAGGTGGATCGATTATCTTGGCAAAAGAGAAATGCTCACTAAAATGAATGTAAATTTATGCACACAATTTGAGAGAAATAAGCTTTTTGTGCGTAGCATTTCAGGGATCTTTTATTTCAGCTCATGAAACATGGGACAAACACTTTACATGTTGAAATCACACTTTTGTTCAGTGTACTTCCCCGGAGTCAGATTAACTTGTGGATACCAATTTTATGTCTCTGCGTCCAGTATGAAGGAAGCGGTAGTTTTGCGAGCCAATTCTAACTAGCGTTAGTGCAATGACTGGAAGTCTGTGGTATCTACATTTACATTTACATTTACGTCATTTAGCAGACGCTCTTATCCAGAGCGACTTACAAATAGGTGCATTCACCTTATAGCCAGTGGGATCTACTAGCATACTTCCAGTCATTGCTCTAACGCTAGTTAGCAATTGCGCTAGGGCTGGTTAGAAACTTCCTTCAAACTGCACGTAGAGACATAGAAATGGTATGCACAAGTTCAAATCCAGAGGTATCCCTTTAAAGGTAATTTCCGATTGAGCTGACATCTTCAGCGTTTACCGTGAATGCAGCCTCCGAGAACGTGAGAAAATATGCCTTTAAACGTAAATCACGCTACAATGCGGATCTTCAGCGCTACGGATAGATGCGGTAAAGAGATCAATCAAACTCGACCAAAACAATGAAAATGCCATGGCAACATCACTCACACATCCCCCGTGGGGTAAAGATTCAGAATCTCCTCATTTCCCCCCATCAAAATTGTTCATACAGATGTAGGATCTTAGTTTGCTTCAGCAGGAAAATAATCCTGCAGCAACAGGACATGTGGACAATAATTAATGGACATTTTTGTAGGGGTTGATACATTTGTCTTTAGGGAAAATGAAGTCTGAAGTTTCTATGTGGAAATTACAAACTTGAGAAGCTTTTTTAAACCTCAAATACACTGCAAGTTTTAAATGTCCTGCATTGCGGGAAAGTTCTCCTGCAACAGGGTGATCAAATTAAGATCCTATATTGGTATGTGTATTTCACACTATGTTGAGGTAAGAATTGGAGTATAATGCTTGTTTGGATGTCAACACCAATACATGCTCATGCCATCATCCCCAATCAACTGCATTACACTTAAAAAGTGTCTTCAAGTACCACCACCGATTTCTATATGGATAGCTATGCTACCAGCTTATATGAATGGGAGTTAGAGTTTAGCAGAAATGTTTTCTAACGCTGAAAAGTACTATTTCTAAATATTATGCAGCGAAAACAGCCAAATGTATACTGATCGGATTTTATTAAGCAGAGTGTGGGCCTGTTAGAACACAGAAGTCATGACAGATTTGACTAATATCCACTTTGTAAGATCAGATTCTTTCTAATGTGCGTCAATGACGGCGTCCTTGTTCTTTCCCCCACGGTCTGTTTTCCAATGATCTCTTTACCGCATGTATGAATCAAGCCATAAAAAAAGATCTCCTTTCGAAATCAAGCTCCCTGTCATCAGAGAGTGAGTCCCAGAGCCTTAATATAAACAAAGTACAGCCTGCTTTGCACTCTAACTCTCACCTGTCAAAGGCACACACGCACACACACACACACACACACACACACTGTATCTTCTAAATCTCTGAGGTCTAGTGTTTGTGATGAGCCACATCAGACTCTCAGCAGTGTTCTGTATGTACGTGGCCTAGATTCCATCACCCATCCCTAGCTGTCCATAACATGAATAATTTACTGTTTAGAATTACAAGTCACTGTTATTTCTTTATTCTTTTTACAGTTATCATTGATTGATTGCCAGGTAGGCTGTTGATTTGACCAGGGGCTGGAATCAGGTCCCCCTCCTGTCCATGTTATCTTGATCACTGTGATCTAAAAAGGCTAAACTGATCCTAAATCAGCTCTTTTACTCTGATCCTGATCGTATTATTGTGACTAGAGAAGAGGAGACAATAAGTGACACATCCAAGTGCTCATCATGCCAAAGCTAAGGGCGTGTTGACATTTCAGCCGGACCTCTGGGGGTCCTCTGGGGTTGTTGTTGAGTCCTTTCCTCCTGCTTTCTGATTAAGCCTGTCAGATGATCGCTCTCTGGAGTCTGGAGCTGACATTTTAATTAAAGACAAGGAGGGTGTCAGCATCAGAGGGATGGTGTGTGTCCGTGAGTGCATGAGGGTGAGTGTGAGGGTGAGTGAGTGAGAGAGAGAGAGAGAGAGATAGAGAGAGGTCAGACAAACACAGACTTGAGAGATTACTGTTGTTTTTGGAGATTAAAGGGACATCTATGCTCATCAGGTTCACAGACACGTGTTTTACTATACTTGTGGGGGACCAAACAATTGATTCCCATTCAAAATCCTATTTTCCCTAACCTTAACCTTAACCCTAACCCCAAACCCCTAACCCTAAACCTCTTACGTTTTCCTTGCGGCGACCTGGAGAAATGTCCCTACTTGTCTGAATTGTCCTTGTTTTTATTCTGCTTGTGAGGACTTCTGGTCCCCACAAGGATAGTAAAACCATACACACACCCAACAGCAACGTGGGTCCTCATTAGTCTGACCTGAGACTTGACCTCCACTTACATCTGTCACCACGGCGACAGTTGATTGTTAATTTCCTCTTCATTAAGTCACAACATATCCATAAAACAACAGTTATTTACTGGTTTACAGGCCTGTCTAATGGCATGTCTGATTCGTATTCATTGTGGAGCTGAAGGTTGCCTGAAGGTTTGTTTTTCAACTGGCTTTATAAGCAAGGTTGAGATAAGGTTGATTGATAAAATCAAATACAATTTTATTTGCCACATGCGCCGAATACAACAGGTGTAGACATTACCGTGAAACGGTTACTTATATTGATAATCAGCCTTGTGCTGTTGTTGAGATGTAGCCAAGTGCCAGATCTGTTTATGCTGTTGTATAGCCAACTCCTATAACCAGGTCCCAGATCTGTTTATGCTGTTGTATAGCCAACTCCTATAACCAGGTCCCAGATCTGTTTATGCTGTTGTATAGCCAACTCCTATAACCAGGTCCCAGATCTGTTTATGCTGTTGTATAGCCAACTCCTATAATCAGGTCCCAGATCTGTTTGTGCTGTTTGGCAGACTCCTATTGTAATGCCAAACAACAACTATAAGGAAATGGTTAAGACAGTATAGACTGATCTGGAACCAGGATACCTCATGCCAATTAACGTCCATAGGAGTTGGCTTTACAGCACAAACTGATCTGGGACTAGGCTAGTGTAGACTAGGGCTGGGACGATACCAGTATCGTGATACTCATTAGTGTTGTGGCAAGGAAAGAAAACACGAAATGGATTTAAACTTCTTTAGGAACACAGCCCTAATGTTGGAAAACAAAAAATCATTACGTTGTCATCCAGAGTCACATGTACGGTGCCTTCAGAAATAATTCACACCCCTCGACTTTTCCACACATATGTGTTGTTGTTACAGCCTGAATTAAACATGGATTCAATTTAGATTTTGTGTCACCTGATCTACACACAATACCCTGCATCACTGCTTGGTATGGCAATAGCACCGCCCTCGATCGCATGGGCCATCACTGGGGGCCCGAGCTCCCTGCCATCCAGGACCTCTACTGTATATCAGGAGATGTGAAAAGAAGGCCCGGAAAATCGTCAAAGGCCCCAACCACCCAAGCCATTGACTATTTTCTGTGCTGCCGCACGGCAAGAGGTACCAGTGCATCAAGTCTGACACCAACAGGCTCTTTAACAGCTATCTATCCCCAAGCAATACGACTGATAAATAGCTAACAAAATAGCTACACGGACTATCTGAATTGACCTTGTATCTTTATTGACCTATTTATTTCAATCTTTGCAATGTCTCTATGCACACACACACAAAGGGCCCTACACACTCACACAACTGTCACTCCAACACACACACACAACTCACTCCATTATCTACTCTCTCACATATAATATGCACATACATTTATACTGACTCTACACATCCCCACACCCACTCACATACAAGGTGCAGCTACTCTGTTTATCTTGTATCCTGTTGCCTAGTCCCCTTATCCCTATACATACAGTCCATTCGGAAACTATTCAGACCCCATGACTTTTTCCACATTTTGTTACATTACAGCCTTATTCTAAAATGGATTAAATTGTTTTTTCCCTCATCAATCTACACACAATAACCCATAATGACAAAGCAAAAACTGGTTCACATTTATTAAAAATAAAATATTGAAATATCACATTTATATAAGTATTCAGACCCTTTACTCAGTACTTTGTTGAAGCACCTTTGGCAGTGATTACAGCCTCGAGTCTTCTTGGGTATGACGCTACAAGCTTGGCTCACCTGTATTTGGGGAGTTTCTCCCATTCCTCTCTGCAGATCCTCTCAAGCTCTGTCAGGTTGGATGGGCAGCTATTTTCAGGTCTCTCCAGAGACTTGTCCCGAAGCCACTCCTGCGTTGTCTTGGCTGTGTGCTTAGGGTCGTTGTCCTGTTGGAAGGTGAACCTTCACCCCAGTCTGAGGTCCTGAGCGCTCTGGAGCAAGTTTTCATCAAGGATCTCTCTGTACTTTGCGCTGTTCATCTTTCCCTCAATCCTGACTAGTCTCCCTGTCGCTGAAAAACATCCCCACAGCATGATGCTGCCACCACCATGCTTCACCGTAGGGATGGTGGCAGGTTTCCTCCAGACGTGACACTTGGCATTCAGGCCAAAGAGTTCAATCTTGGTTTCATCAGACCAGATCATCTTGTTTCTCATTGTCTGAGAGTCCTTTAGGTGCCTTTTGGCAAACTCCAAGTGGGCTGTCATGTGCCTTTAACTGAGTAGTGGCTTCTGCCTGGCCACTCTACCATAAAGGCCTGATTGGTGGAGTGCTGCAGAAATGGTTGTCCTTCTGGAAGGTTCTCCCATCTCCACAGAGGAACTCTGGAGCTCTTTCAGAGTGACCATCGGATTCTTGGTCACCTCCCTGACCAAGGCCCTTCTCCCCCGATTGCTCAGTTTGGCCGGGTGGCCAGCTTTAGGAAGAGTCTTGGTGGTTCCAAACTTCTTCCATTTAAGAATGATGGAGGCCACTGTGTTCTTGGGGACCTTCAATGCTGCAGACATTTTTTGTTACCCATCCCCAGATCTGTGCCTCGACACAATCCTGTCTACGGACAATTCCTTTGACCTCATGGCTTGGTTTTTTCTCTATGATATCCACTGTCAACTGTGGGACCTTATATAGACAGGTGTGTGCCTTTCCAAATCATGTCCAATCAATTGGATTTACCACAGGTGGACTCCAATCAAGTTGTAGAAACATCTCATGGATGATCAATGGAAGCAGGATGCACCTGAGCTCAATTTCGAGTATCATATCAAAGGGTCTGAATACTTATGTAAATAAGGTATTTCTAAAAACCTGTTTTCGCTTTGTCATTAAGGGGTATTGCTAGATGGGTAAAAAAACAAACAGACATTGAATATCCCTTTGAGCATGGTGAAGTTATTAATTACACTTTGGATGGTGTATCAATACACCCAGTCACTACAAAGATACAGGTGTCCTTTCTAACTCAGTTGCCGGAGAGGAAGGAAACCGCTCAGGGATTTCACCATGAGGGCAATGGTAACATTAAAACAGTTACAGAGTGGAGGCTGCATCAGGTTATGGGTATGCTTGTCATCGGCAAGGACTGGGTAGTTTTTTTGTTGTTGATAAAAATAAATGGAATAGAGCTAAGCACAGGCAAAACGCTAGAGGAAAACCTTGTCTGCTTTCCAACAGACACTGGGAGACAAATTAGCTCCTGAGTGGCGCAGCGGTCTAAGGCACTGCATCGCAGTGCTAGCTGTGCCACTAGAGACGCTCGTTCGAATCCAGGCTCTGTCGTAGCCGGCCGTGACCGGGAGACGCATGGGGCGGCGCACAATTGGTCCAGGGTAGGGGAGGGAATGGCCGGCAGGGATGTAGCTCAGTTGGTAGAGCATGGTGTTTGCAACGCCAGCTTTGTGGGTTTGATTCCCACAGGGGTATGAAAGATAAAATAATGTATGCACTCACTTAACTGTAAGTCGCTCTGGATAAGAGCGTCTGCTAAATGACGTAAATGTAAATTCACCTTTCAGCAGGACAGTAACCTACAGCACAAGGCCAAATATACACTGGAGTTGCTTACCAAGACGACATTGAATGTTCCTAAGTGGCCTAGTTACAGTTTAGACTTAAATTGTCTTGAAGCGCTATGGCAAGACTTGAAAATGGCTGTCTACCAATGGTCAACAACCAACTTGACAGAGCTTGAAGAATTTTAAAAAGAATGATGTGCAAATATTGTACAATCCAGGTGTGCAAAGAGACTTAACCAGAATGAATCACAGCTGTAATTGGCGCCAAAGGTGATTCTAACATGTATTGACTCAGGGGTGTGAATACTTATGTAAATTAGATATTTGCAATTTCTTGTGTGTAGATGGGGTGAGAAAAATAAAACAATTTAATCCATTTTGAATTCGGGCTGTAACACAACAAAATGTGGAATAAGTCAAGGTTTATGAATGCTTTCTGAAGGCATTGTATCCCAAGCTAAAGCACACAATATTTTACATACATCATGTTAGGACCAAAGATTTTGTATTTTATCTCAGTATTATTGTAAACGCCAGCAACGGTATTCTCTAGATGACTCAATGACTCACTTTGCCACATGGTTGACGACCGGAGCGAAGTTGGTTGGTCCGTAGAGTTGGACCGTCTTTAGACTCTGATGGTATGCTTTTAGAATCCCCTCCATTCCGTTGCAGTAGGGGTTCTCTATGTTGCCATTCTGTGAAGGAGAAAATACATAACATGTTACCTGAATTAGTTACATTTCTGAGATATAACCAGGATAATAGTGAGGGAATCGACTGTGTGAGTGTAAAGGCGTCCGCATACATAGGTTGGGTTTGCTCCTAGCAGAACTCGGCTAGGCGAAGCGAACGTCTGTGCTCGCATACTCCCTAAAGACCTTGCTTGTAAAACGAGAAAAAAGTGGCAATATTACTGTTGTTTGTCCCTCTTGAGCCACCGTAGCAACAACGTCGCCAGTAACACTTCCTCAAAATAGTCTTAATTAATCTAAGATAAATCAAGAAATCTGTAATTCATTTTGACGTTTTTTTGCTCAGGTCTTAGTGGCACAATTTTACATCTAACTAAGTTGATCGGGGCAGTACTTCTCAAGTGAAAAAAATAGCATGAAAACTAGAAGTGTACTGCAGTACAGAAGGACCTAGCTGCTGCTGCGTTCTCTCCTCTCCCTCATTGAATGACAGCAAACACCTCATTGAAGAATCCTTTTCATGTCACAAAATGTTTGCAGAATATACAGTATGCACAAACTGTTTCGACTGGGAAGCATGCGACAGGCTTTAAGCTTCATAGATAGTGATTTTAGATAGTGACTCCAACCACTAAAACAAACATTAATTCTACCTTCACTGTACAGCAAATGAGAATAGAAACCCTTGAAAGTGTGCTGGTTGGTTGGTTTTCATCATATTGTCAGATGTGTGAATAATCTTAATCAGAATGGAGGTTGATACGGTGCGGTGGATTCCCTGCCGATGGGCTGCTCATTAGTTGTACTGTACACCACCATCCCCATACACATTAACTGGCTGAGAGAAGCCTAATTGATTGAAGAATCCTTAAGGCTTACAGAAGCCAATTTGCACTAGAGAAGGTTTAAATTAAACCTGTGTTTAATTTATGCATGCTCATATCTGTCAAAGGAATACACAAGTTCTCTCTCTCTCTCTCTCTCTCCTCTCTCTCTCTCTCTCTCTCTCCTCTCTCTCTCTCTCTCTCTCTCTCTCTCCTCTCTCTCTCTCTCTCTCTCTCTCTCTCTCTCTCTCTCTCTCCACTGTCTCTGCCTCTGAGGCGAGTCATGAAGCTCAGTTTACAGCATATTGGTAAACAAGCTGTCTTGATCCTCTTATTGTCAAGTGAAGGGCAACACAGCACCACAACGCTAATCCACTATCATGCAGCCACACACACACACAGCACCACAACGCTAATCCACTATCATACAGCCACACACACACACACAGCACCACAACGCTAATCCACTATCATACAGCCACACACACACACACAGCACCACAACGCTAATCCACTATCATACAGCCACACACACACACAGCACCACAACGCTAATCCACTATCATACAGCCACACAAACACATAGCACCACAACGCTAATCCACTATCATACAGCCACACACACACACAGCACCACAACGCTAATCCACTATCATACAGCCACACACACACACACACACAGCACCACAACGCTAATCCACTATCATACAGCCACACACACACACAGCACCACAACTGTATAATGATGATACCTACTGTATAATGATACCTACTGTATAATGATACCTACTGTATAATGATACCTACTGTATAATGATACCTATTGTATAATGATACCTACTGTATAATGATACCTATTGTATAATGATACCTATTGTATAATGATTCCTACTGTATAATGATACCTACTGTATAATGATACCTATTGTATAATGATACCTATTGTATACGTATAGGATGGCTCATGGGACACCCTCATACACCCAGCTTCCACCAAACCCTGCCAGCTCTAACAGTCTATTAACACTACATAACCAAAAGTATATGGACACCTGCTCGTCGAACATCTCATTCCAAAATCATGGGCATTGATATGGAGCTGGTCCCCCCTTTGCTGCTATAACAGCCTCCACTCTTCTGGGAAGGATTTCCACTAGATGTTGGAACATTGCTGCGGGGACTTGCTTCCATTCAGCCACAAGAGCATTAGTGAGGTTGTGCACTGATGTTGGGCGATTAGGCCTGGCTCGCAGTTGGCGTTCCAATTCATCCCAAAGGTGTTGGATGGGGTTGAGGTCAGGGCTCTGTGCAGGCCAGTCAATTTCTTCCGTGCCGATCTCGACAAACCATTTCTGTATGGACTTCGCTTTGTGCATGGGGGCATTGTCATGCTGAAATAGGAAAGGGCTTTCTCCAAACTGTTGCCACAAAGTTGGAAGCACAGAATCGTCTAGAATGTCATTTTATGCTGTAGCGTTAAGATTTCCCTTCACTGGAACTAAGGGAACTAGCCCGAACCATGAAAAACAGCCCCAGACCATTATTCCTCCTCCACCAAACTTTACAGTTGTCACTATGCATTCGGGCAGGTAGCGTTCTCCTGCCATCCGCCAAACCCAGATTTGTCCGCCGGACTGCCAGATGGTGAAGCGTGATTCATCACTCGAGAGAACACATTTCCATTGCTCCAGAGTCCATGGCGGCGAGCTTTACACCACTCCAGCCAACGCTTGGCATTGAGCATGGTGATCTTAGGCTTGTGTGCGGCTGCTCGGCCATGGAAACCCATTTCATGAAGCTCCCGACGAACAGTTCTATCTTCCAGAGGCAGTTTGGAACTCGGTAGCAAGTGTTGCAACCGAGGACAGACGATGTTTACACACTACGTGCTTCAGCACTCAGTGGTCATGTTGCTTTCAGAGGCAGTTTGGAACTTGGTAGTGAGTTTTGCAACCGAGGACAGATGATTTTTACGTGCTAAGCGCTTCAGCACTCGGTGGTCCCGTTCTGTGAGCTTGTGTGGCCTACCACTTCGCGGCTGAGCCGTTGTTGCTCCTAGACGTTTCCACTTCACAATAACAGCACTTACAGTTGACAGGGGCAGCTCTAGGAGGGCAGAAATTTGACGAACAGACTTGTTGGAATGGTGGCATCCTATGACGGTGCCATGTTGAAAGTGACTGAGCCCTTCAGTAAGGCCATTTACTGCCAATGTTTGTCTATGGAGATTGAATGGTTGTGTGCTCAATTGTATACACCTGTCAGCAACAGGTGTGGCTGAAATAGGGATGTAGCTCAGTTGGTAGAGCATGGCGTTTGCAACGCCAGGGTTGTGGGTTCGTTTCCCACGGGGGGCCAGTATGATTATTTTTTTTTAAAGTAAAATTATTATTTTTTAAATTAATAACTGTAAGTCGCTCTGGATGAGAGCATCTGCTAAATGACAAAAAATAAAATATATATAAATATTGCAGAATCCACTAATTTGAAGGGGTGTCCACATACTTTTGTGTATATAGTGCATCTGTAGTTTATCTGCAGTCTATACAGGATAGTTAACTGGGGGAACTCATTGGACATCAGATAACACCCAGCTTAGTCTGTTGTGTGTGTGTGTGCGCGTGTGTGTGTGTGTGTGTGTGTGTGTGTGTGTGGGTTTGGGTGTGTGTATGTGTGTGTATGTGTGTGTGTGTGCGTGTGTGTGTGTGTGTGTGTGTGTGGGTTTGGGTGTGTAGGTTTGGGTGTGTGTATGTGTGTGTATGTGTGTGTGTGTGTGTGTATGTGTGTGTGTGTGGGTGTGTGTGTATGTTTGTGTGGGTGTGTGCAGTCATATGATGATTATGATAGATAGTTACCAAGGGGAACTCGTGGGAGACCTGTCCATCAGGGGGCAGCTTGGCTCCAAATCCCAGAGCAGGGAACATCTTATCACTGTCGTAGTCCTGGATGATCTCCCCTACAGCCTTCAGGGCCATGGCGTACGCATTCATCTGGTACGGGTTCATGTAGTGTAGAGAGGTGGACTGGGACGGGTTACCTAGGGAGGGTCAGAGGTCAGAGGTGAGTGATGCAGCATACTGGACTGAGGAGTCTCACAGAGAGACGTACAAGACTAGCAACATGGAAACTCCGTCTGAACCAGAGTGGAATTCAGTAAAGCTAACACAGTTAAAGGGTGCTGTAGTGTGATTTTCAACGGCTGATTGTAGCTTTGCAAATGGGATTGCATCTTCATCATGTTTCATTATAGACTTTGTGTTTGGTGAAACCAAAATGTAACCCAGTCTTTTACAAAGGAGTAGTGTCATAAAATAGGTAAGAGTGGAGCGCAGTAGAATAGGACCAGCCCTCACCATTGGATGCAGTGAAATCAATGGCCACCGTGAAGTGAATCTGGGTTCTGGAAGAAAGAAACAGAGAGTGATGTGGAAAATTATCACTATACTTTATTAAAAATCAAAGTTCTTTCAGAGTTTTTTGTAGAATCAAGATAGACTTTATTACACAAAGTAACGTAAACCGAGATAATCTGCAGAGGACCTGGGTTTACGTTACTTTGTGTAATAAAGTCAGGACTGGAAAGAGATCATTGAGTGCTTCGACCATCTGAGAAAGTTTGGACGAATCACACACAAAAATACAGCGGCCGCTGTTAATAGAGGTAAGCAACATTCTTACTTGTAGCATAGAAATTGTGATTCGATCAGGCTGAATCTGAGGGTAAGGTACGGAAGGGGTCTCTCCAGTATTAAGGACTAAATTGAGCAAAAGTACAGAGTTTTTGTTGGAATGAGAAATAAGCATGCATGCAATGTTATTGTTGATAAGTGTAAAATAAGTTAAATCCTGTGGTACTGCTGTGGAGAGCTAAGGTTAGCACTCCAGAGGATTGAAAGGGCAGAGTGGCTAGCCAAGAGTTGTACATAAGATTGAGATGGCCAGTCGGGTAGGTGGTGTATCATCCTGTGATGTGGTGATGCAAAAGTTAGACAGGGCCAAATCGGGTAGGGCCATCCTGAGTAGGTGACACCATAAATTGGAAGTAGCGCCGGTCATCCAGAATAGGTGGGCGGTTGTGAAATAGCCACCAGTGCTTCAAATATAGAGAAAGTGGTCATTCTGTCTGATTCATTTAAGCACGAGCGGCTGCTTATCTGTGTGAGTGATCGGACAATAAAAAGAAATCCTGCAAATAATAGCCTTTTCTGTGTGGAGGGAGCGTCAGGAGGGGAAACTATATTTGAGGTTGCTTGAAGCTTATATGGCTGGTGGAGAAAGGGCATGCCCAATCTTGCATTAGGAAGAGGAGAATTAATGGTATGTGGTTATTAATTTATCAACTGAGTGTGGAAATTTCACATTACTAGGAGGGGATCAGAAGGTGTGTGTGTCTTTACCAGGAAGGGGTATGAGAAATCCTGTCGGAGGAACAGGTCACGTGCACGGGTTTGATTGTATGACGTCTACACATTGTATTTCGGCCAATCTTTTAGGGTCTCATTATATTTGGGAATTTTAGAAGTAATGTAGGATTATGGTAAAATTGACCATAGTGAAATGTCAAATGTGACAGGGTTAACATTCCAAATTTGGGCACTTTTATAGAAGAAAATATTCCTGCAGGTTATACGAATATTGATTGTGTGTTGGGAAATAGCGTTGTGTGAATGTGATATGAGAGTCGTGTGAATATGGGAATGAGTTTTAATCTGAAGTTTGGAGAATAAGCTGTTGATATAATGATATCTTGGGGTTTGTACAACACTGCCTGTCATAGAATATTGTAAGATCAGTGAATAAGTGACCAGTCTATAGGATTCTGGGAGGATTTTATGACTGACGGGCAGGTCTAGGAAGTTAAAGTTGTTGTTCCGCTGGGACTAGATTATGATAAACTGACTTGTGGTGATAAAGAATCATTAGAAATACGAATGGTCTGGTTGATATGAATATATTACAATATGATGAATTTTATATGCGTGTCATTGATTACTAGAGATTGGATTAAAGTGGAATAATGTATAAGTGCTGACTTGCGTACCCAAAACGTAGACGTACATGAGGGGTGGGAGACAGTACATAGATCATGTGATAGAAAGGAAGAAGAAATGGAAGAGGTTCAAGATGACGGTCAATCACCCTCACTCGGTCTGGGGCTCCATGCAAGATCTCACCTTGTGGGGCATCAATGATCATGAGGAAGGTGAGGGATCAGCCCAGAACTACATGGCAGGACCTGGTCAATGACCTGAAGAGAGCTGGGACCACAGTCTCAAAGAAAACCATTAGTAACACATTATGCCGTCATGGATTAAAATCCTGCAGCGCACGCAAGTCCCCCTGCTCAAGCCAACGCATGTCCAGGCCCGTCTGAAGTTTGCCAATGACCATCTGGATGATCCAGAGGAGGATGGGAGAAGGTCATGTGGTCTGATGAGACAAAAATAGAGCTTTTTTGGTCTAAACTCCACTCGCCGTGTTTGGAGGAAGAAGAAGGATGAGTACAACCCCAAGAACACCATCCCAACCGTGAAGCATGGAGGTGGAAACATCATTCTTTGGGGATGCTTTTCTGCAAAGGGGACAGGACGACTGCACCGTATTGAGGGGAGGATTGATGGGGCCATGTATCGCGAGATCTTGGCCAACAACCTCCTTCCCTCAGTAAGAGCATTGAAGATGGGTCGTGGCTGGGTCTTCCAGCATGACAACGACCCGAAACACACAGCCAGGGCAACTAAGGAGTGGCTCCGTAAGAAGCATCTCAATGTCCTGGACTGGCCTAGCCAGTCTCCAGACCTGAACCCAATAGAAAATCTTTGGAGGGAGCTGAAAGTCCATATTGCCCAGCGACAGCCCTGAAACCTGAAGGATCTGGAGAAGGTCTGTATGGAGGAGTGGGCCAAAATCCCTGCTGTAGTGTGTGCAAACCTGGTCAAGACCTACAGGAAACGTATGATCTCTGTAATTGCAAACAAAGGTTTCTGTACCAAATATTAAGATCTGCTTTTCTGATGTATCAAATACTTATGTCATGCAATAAAATGCAAATTAATTACTTAAAAATCATACAATGTGATTTTCTGGATTCCGTCTCTCACAGTTGAAGTGTACATATGATAAAAATTACAGACCTCTACATGCTTTGTAAGTAGGAAAACCTGCAAAATCGGCAGTGTATCAAATACTTGTTCTCCCCACTGTATATTAGTATCAGAACAAACTTCAGTTAATCTATTAGGAAGACATGCACTGTTTAGAATGGGAATCCAAATTAAATGCACATCAGAGGGACTAATAATAGTTCAGGAAGGTGTACGTCCACAGATGATGATGGCTATGGACAAAACATCACATGTATATTGGATAGGGAACATAGAATCACCAGCACAAGAGGTACTAAAGAAGTGGGGAAAGTTTATTAGGGCTCAAATTCATATAGACCTGGTTTATAATACTTTTAGTGGCCAAGGGATAACAGGCAATGTTGTTGTTTAGTTTTTTGGAACGCATAAATCACGATGTGAGTCATGTGTCCAAAGGGGGGAGTACTGGTTAAAACAGAGTGACTGTAACATGCCACTAAAGGCAGACAAACAGAAGTGGAGATTGGTTCATGACCCGAGAGCAGTAAATGAGGTAGTTCAGGATAAGGCAGAGGTGCCCAATCCACACACACACTGTTAACAAACATTCCACCAGATGCTAAATGGTTCTCAGTAATAGACTTATGCGGAAGATTTTTTTTAGTGTACCTTTAGCATAAGAAAGTAGACACTTGTTTGCATTTACTTACAAAGGACAGCGATTTATATAGGAATTAGATTGAAACAAACGATTACTGAGTTGATGGAGCACAGTGGAATTATTTTCATGTTTTGTTTATAGTTCAAACGTTTGGGTGGCTGATTAAAGATGTAATATAGTGAATGTTAACTGATATGAGGTTTTTATGGTGTTATGATGTCATGTCACAGTATCGTGTGGACCAGGTTAGAGTTAGTAGATAAGTGGCTTGGTGCCACAAGAGTCTACATTCCGTTATGTCAAAGGAGATTACTGAGGTTGATCTTCGAATAATTGATGGACAGGATATAGTGACTTGGGGTAAAGGGTAATAACATCAAGAGAAGGGAGTGTCCATGATGGGTACCAGATGATCGTGAAGAAACGTGTAGCAGAGAGTAATGTAAGTGAAGAGTATTTCAAGTCAGTTAGGAAGATGTCCTTCTTCTGTTATACCTAAACACAGTACCATATTAAATACTTATATGAACTCCCCATCAAAAGTGTCTAAGTATATCGTTACATTCTTAAGTACTTGATACCCTTGAAACTCATCATAACATTAACGAAATGTATACTTTATTTTCCAGGGGAATGGGAGTTTCAATATCTCTCTTTGGAATGTTTCCTGAGACTGTGAGCTGAGGAGAGCAGTTAGTAAAACTCAGCCATTTTGTAATTAGGCCGTAAGAGGGCGCTACCAAATTAAATAAGGCCATTTGTTTTGTTTTTGCCCTACGTTTCACCAGCACACACGACCCACCTATTATTAATATTTGGTAGTTGTGTAGGGTTTTATTTTTGGTTTAGTGGATTTTTCACAGGTTAGAAATAATATGCCTTAAAGGGCACATAAAGTACATTTTTTGAAGTTTATATTACCAGAGTTCTAATTACACACATGTAAATTCTCCTGATTAGAAATGTACTGAAAAAAACCCAATGTAAACCTGGTACACAAAATGTTTGAAATGTTTAAAATATCGTTAAATAATATCTGAGGTAAAGTGGAAGGAAATGGAAAGAGACACTCACTCAAATGGGGTTGAATGACCTCTGACCTTTATTCTGACTTTCTGGCAAGGCTTGATCACCCTCGCTCGAAAGCTAAAGACGTTGTGTGAGATTTCTATGTAGTATGTAAACACTAATAATTCGGAAGAAGTTTATAACTTAGCATTAGGCTTATGTATGATTCATACCATGACAAGGACAGAGAAAGAAAACTAGCCCTGAATGAGGGACACTTGTCGCTAGTCAATTTTACTATTCCTTGAATTACTTTATGGGATACAATTAAGTTAAGGTATTATCAAGGGTTATCATTCTAATTTGATTTGTTATTTTGATGTAACAGACATTGTTGCTTTGTATTTTGGGGCCTTACTTCTGGCACTAATGAGTTATTGCATGCAAGCTAACAGAATAACGCATCTAACACCGCGTGACATGCTTATGGGTTGACCATGCCAGTGCCGGTGCTTAGGGGACCATATGAGGGTCCGCCTCTAGAGCAAATGGAAAGGGAATTAGAAGGGTATATCAGGCAACTAACTGTCATTCATGAAGTTATATACCAACAGGAGAGAAGCAGAGTTCTGAAACCAGAGGCGAATCCACTACGACCAGTGGTCCCGGGGGGAGAAGGTCTACGTCAGGGTCTTCAGAAGGAAGTGGAACGAACAGAGACATGAGGGACCCTACACCTTCATCCAGGCTACACCAACTCCTGTAAGGGTCGAGGGGAGCTCGACCTGGTATCATCTAAACCACTGCACCAGAGTACCGCATGGAAACCGACGACCGAGAGATGAGGAAGCTGAGGGTGCCGAGACCCTAGTGACGGAAGAGGGTCCCGAGCCAAAGGGACCCAACGCCGGCCCGGAGTAGTGGCCCAGAAGTAGCTGATCATCGTAGAAGGAGTCCTGAGCGAAAGGGAACAACGCCGGCCCGGAGTAGAGGCCCAGAAGCAGATGGTCATTATCGGAAGAAAGCCCTGCTTGGCCCTCACAACAATGAGGACCACTTAACTGCCCTTATGGCAACCTAGAATGTCAGTCTGGGTAGTGGCAGGAGGAGGATGGGCTTGTCATGACTACAAGGACAAGCAACAGCTGAAGCACACTGGACTTGGAGATATTAATCTCCCAGACTGATATCCTGTTCCACATTACTTTAGTGATGATAATGACTCTAAATGATATCAAAATAACTGTCTTAAATAGAGATCATGATTAAAACAATGTTGCATGTATTTTATGTATTTTAATGTGTTAGGATACTAAGACTTATATTGGAATTGGTTTGAGTAGAAATGCTGATATTGTTTATTGTGAGTATAACCTTAAATGCAAAGATTGTCCTTGATAGCATAAACATAATTGTTCTTAAGTTAGTTACTATATTAATCATTATATACTTTTGTAAGGATTTGGGACTAATGATAGTCCCATTGGGGGGAATATGATGGGAATTTTTTTGTGGACTATGAGATAAAACAGAGTTAATCACGAACATATAGTTAGAATTCTCTGTTGCTAGGCAATAACTTAATTGGTTCATTTCACTGTGTGTGTGAGAAGTGGGGATCTGACCTAGGGTCGAATTGCTCGCTCTTACCTAATCCATGGCTGTCCTACCTTATCAGAGACTGACACCAGACTGTGGCCTTTTGCCTCTCTCCTCAAACAAAGTGGAAAGAGCGGCGCCAGAGTTGAACAGAGTTTAGACTAATCATGAGTAATTACTCTCACTCCCCCTGCTGTATTACCTCACGCTTCACCTCCCCATTCACTGAACCTTATTCCAGCCAGGACAATGGCAATAGAGAAGAATCAAGATATACACAAAGCAACCATTTTACTCCATAACTATCAGCCATGTGAATTGTAATAATGAGATAACCAGATAGTTTAACAGGCAAAATTACCTAAAACAAATATTGTGCAAGATAGATGTCAATTCTTCGTGGTTAGTTCCAGTAGCTAACAATTATTTGTGGCTATCAGGCTAGCTAACAGTAGCAGCTAGCCAGTTAGCCCTATTGACTTATTATGGGCTTGCGATCTACAGTACGTTGGGGTAAACATGCCAACATTAACACAACATGTATTTATAAAAGTATCAAGATGTAGTCAGTCAACATACAATGCTATGAAAAAGTATTGGCCCCCTTTCTAATTTTCTCTACTTTTGCATATTTGTGATACTGAATGTTATCAAATCTTCAACCAAAACCTAATATTAGATAAAGGGAACATAAGTGAACAAATAACACAACAATTACATATTTATTTCATTTATTTCATAAACAAAGTTATGCAACACCCAATTCCCCTGTGTGAAAAAGTAATTGCCCCCTTACACTCAATAACTGGTTGTGCCACCTTTAGCTGCAATGACTCCAACCAAATGCTTCCTGTAGTTGTTGATCAGTCTCTCACGTCGCTGTGGAGAAATTTTGGCCCACTCTTCCATGCAGAACTGCTTTAACTCAGTTCCGTGTGGGTTTTCAAGCATGAACTGCTCGTTTCAAGTCCTGCCACAATATCTCAATTGGGATTAGGTCTGGACTTTGACTAGGCCATTCCAAAACTTCCAATTTGTTGCTTTTTAGCAATTTTCATGTAGACTTGATTGTGTGTTTTGGACAATGTCTTGCTGCATGACCCAGCTGCGCTTCAGCTTCAGCTCACAGACGGATGGTCTGACATTCTCCTGTAGAATTCTCTGATACAAAGCAGAATTCATGGTTCCTTCTATTAAGGCAAGTCGTCCAGGTCCTGAGGCAGCAAAGCATCCACAAACCATCACACCACCACCACCATGCTTGACATTTGGTATGATGTTCTTACTGTGGAATGCAGTGTTTGGTTTTCGCCAGGCATAATGGGACCCATCTCGTCCAAAAAGTTGACTCTAGTTTGCCAAAAAGCACGTGGATGATGATCAAGACTCTTGGAAGAACGTTCTATGGACAGATGATTCAAAAGTATAACTTTTTGGACGACATGGTTCCAGTAATGCCTAGATATTCTCTCAAATTTGACATTTGCTCAGTACATTGTTTACACTGAGGAAATGTACAAGTCTGCTGTTAATGCAGAGGATTTTACTTATGGATCTCTCTCTCTCTCTCTCTCTCTCTCTCTCTCTCTCTCTCTCTCTCTCTCTCTCTCTCTCTCTCTCTCTTTTCTCTCTCGCTCTCCCCCTCTCTCTCTCATCTCACTGTTCCACCTCTCTCTTTCTCTTCACCTCTCTGTTCCACCTCTCTCTCTTTCTCCCCCTCTCTCTCACTTCACTGTTCTATCTCTCTCTATCTCTCCACCCCTCTGTTCCACCTCTCTCTCTCGCTCTCCCCCGCTCACTCTCTCCACCTCTCTGTTCCACCTCTCTCTCTCTCTCTCTCTCTCACCTCTGTGCTTTCTCTCTCTCCTACAAAGTAATTTTTATATCACAACTCTCTCTCTTGCGCTCTCCTACAAATGTACTCTTATGTCACAGCTCTCGCTCTCTCCTACAAAGTTACCGTTACGTCCCAGCGGCTCGGCTTAAATAAATAATCCTCCCCATCTGTCCAGGAGACAACCGCAATTACCCAGAAGCCATCACTCCGCTCTCTGCCCCAGCTCTCACCTGGGAGAGGAGCACAGACCAAACCGTCCCAAACGCCTTTCCTGCTCAAGCGAGGAAACTTCTCAAATATAAAGGTAGATTTTTATATATTTCATATGTTTCCCGTCTCCCAGCAGCATAGGAGAAATGGATTCACATTCATGGCAGCAGAGCAGCAGCCGGTCTGGTTTCCAAGCCCAGTTAGGCAACAAGTCAGTCCAACTACATGCATGACCAGACATCTGGAGGGCTAGCCTTGCTTGGCTGAACTGAACCCCTACCACGTTTTAAGACTTTTATGACTTTTAATTCCTAGGAACATGAACATGTGTGCTCTAAATTCACTAAGCTGTACTGGCTATACTTGTCACGTTGTATAATGACTTGAAGACAGGTGCAGGAATATGTATTAGGGTTTTAATATACTCCACCCAACACAAACATGTATATATATATATATATATATATATATATATATATATATATATGTACAAAAGGGATGTAACCCAAACAAAGACTGAGGTGTAACCTCTACACAATACACAGGACGAGACCCGTAAACAACAAGAGCACAATAACACGGTACTCACGAGACCAACGGACATGGGACAATAATCGGCAAGGACAATGGGGAACAGATGGCACATACACTACCATTGGGGTCACTCAGAAATGTCCTTGTTTTCGAAAGAAAAGCACTTTTTTCGTCCATTAAAATGACATAACATTTTTCAGAAATACAGTGTAGACATTGTTAATGTTGTAAATGGCTATTGTAGCTGGAAATGGCTGATTTTTTTATGGAATATCTACATAGGCGTACAGAGGCCCAATATCAGCAACCATCAGTCCTGTGTTCCAATGGCACGTTGTGTTTGCTAATCCAAGTTTATAATTTTAAAAGGCTAATTGATCATTAGAAAACCCTTTTGCAATTATGTTAGCACAGCTGAAAAACTGTTGTGCTGATTAAAGAAGCAATAAAACTGGCCTTCTTGAGACTAGTTGAGTATCTGGAGCATCAGCAATTGTGGGTTCGATTACTGTCTCAAAATGGCCAGACAAAATTAAACGGGCCTATTTATATAATGAATTTGAATTCGGAGGACAGAAATTATTAAATATTAAAGCATTAGACCTATCACTAAAAGCTTCAGTCATACAAAAGTTATACTTAAATCCGAACTGGTTCTCTTGCAAATTAGTAAGATTGTCTCACCCAATGTTCAAGAAAGGCCTTTTTTCCTTTATTCAGATTACAACCACTCACTTTCAGTTATTTGAAAAGGAAATAATCTCCCAGATATCACTATTTCTAAAACAAGCCATAGAAAGTTGGTTGCAATTTCAATTTAATCCTCCAGAAACGACAGAACAAATAATGCAACAAATATTGTGGTTAAACTCAAATATACTAATTGACAAAAAACCTTTTTTGTAAATGATATCATCTGTAGGACTGGTGGAGTTATGTCGCACATGCAGCTAACAAAAACATATGGAAATGTCTGCTCTACCCAAAATTACAACCAAATAATTGCAGCCTTACCGCAAAAATGGAAGAGGAAAGTGGAAGGAGGAGAAAGTAAGGAACTTGTCTGTCGGCCTTGCATTAAAGAACATAATTGGTTAAGGAAAACTGTGATAAATAAAAAGGTATATCAGTTTCATTTAAGGACCAAAGGATAGACGGCCGTCCCATATAGATTGCAAAATAGTTGGGAAGAGATTTTTGACGTACCGATCCCATGGCATAGTGTTTATGAACTGATACGCAAAACGACACCGGATTCAAAACTTAGAATCTTTCAATTTAAATTATTATATAAAATTCTTGCTACCAATAGAATGTTAGTTATATGGGGGATACAATCTTCCCAGCTCTGCAGATTTTGCTGCGAAGAGACAGAATCATTAGATCATTTGTTTTGGTACTGTCCATTTGTAGCTTGTTTTTGGACACAGGTCCAGGAATGGCTGAAGGATTGCAATATTTACCGGGAGCTAACCCTGCAGATAGCACTACAGGGTGATCTGAAAAGTCATAGTCAATCGATCAATAACATAATAATACTATTAGCAAAACATTTTATTTTCAATTCACAATCTGTAGAAACAATGAGAATAGAAAGGTTCAGAGCTTTTGTAAGACATCACAGAACAGTTGAAAAATATATGGCAAATAGAAATCCTATATGGATGGTGTTAAAAGATAGATGGGAGGTGTTGAATGGAATTGAAGGATGGGACTAATAACAACTAACATCAAACAATAACAAGATAACTAATAATGTAGGCACGCTGTGTCCATAATAAGTGTATGGGTTGTATGTTGGGAGCTTTTGTGAAGGAGTTAGAAAGATATGGCATATAGAAGCAAACCGGATGGACATCATGAAAATGAACGGAGAGGTTGAGAGCAGAAGAAGTTCAGGAGAAAGAACAAACAAAATGTAATTACTGTAAAATTGACTGTGTCCATAAATTGTAGATAGTGGGTATGGGCTGGAAGTAGAGGCCTAGGCGTTGTTGTTCACTAGTTTACTCCAAGTGGGGAAAGGGTGGCAGGGTTGGAAAGTAATAAAGTAATGAAGGGGAATAAAAGGATATGCATGTATGTATGTATGTATGTGTGTGTGTGTGTGTGTGTGTGTGTGTATGTGTGTATATGTGGTCATCTGACCATGTGTTCTCGTATACCCCGAGAGCATCTGGTCAGCGGGGTGGTGGCACAGGAATCCTCATCTCTCCCAAGTGGACATTCTCTCTTTTTCCCCTGACCCATCTGTCTATCTCCTCATTTGAATTCCATGCTGTCACAGTCACTAGCCCATTCAAGCTTAACATCCTTGTCATTTATCGCCCTCCAGGTTCCCTTGGAGAGTTCATCAATGAGCTTGACGCCTTGATAATTTCCTTTGCTGAGGATGGCTCACCACTCACAGTTCTGGGTGACTTTAACCTCCCTACGTCTACCTTTGACTCATTTCTCTCTGCCTCCTTTTTTCCACTCCTCTCCTCTTTTGACCTCACCCTCTCACCGTCCCCCCCTACTCACAAGGCAGGCAATACGCTTGACCTCATCTTTACTAGATGCTGTTCTTCTACTAATCTCACTGCAACTCCCCTCCATGTCTCCGACCACTACTTTGTATCCTTTTCTCTCTCGCTCTCCTCCAACACTACCCACTCTGCCCCCTACCTTCGCTCTCTCTCTCCCGCTACTCTCTCCTCTTCCATCCTATCATCTCTTCCCTCTGCTCAATCCTTCTCCCTCCAATCTCCTGATTCTGCCTCCTCAACTCTCCTCTCCTCCCTTTCTACATCCTTTGACTCTCTATGTCCCCTATCCTCCCGGCCGGCTCGGTCCTCCCCTCCTGCTCCGTGGCTTGACGACTCATTGCGAGCTCACAGAACAGGGTTCCGGGCAGCCGAGCGGAAATGGAGGAAAACTAGACTCCCTGCGGACCTGGCATCTTTTCACTCCCTCCTCTCTACATTTTCTTCCTCTGTTTCTGCTGCTAAAGCCACTTTCTACCACTCTAAATTCCAAGCATCTGCCTCTAACCCTAGGAAGCTCTTTGCCACCTTCTCCTCCCTGCTGAGTCCCCCCCCCCTTCCTCCCTCTCTGTGGATGACTTCGTCAACCATTTTGAAAAGAAGCTTGACTACATCCGATCCTCTTTTGTTAAGTCAAATAACACTGCCCTACCCTATGCTTTGACTTCTTTCTCCCCTCTCTCTCCAGATGAAATCTTGCAACTTGTGACGGCCGGCCACCCAACAACCTGCCCGTTTGACCCTATCCCCTCCTCTCTTCTCCAGACCGTCTCCGGTGACCTTCTCCCTTACCTCACCTCGCTCATCAACTCATCCTTGACCGCTGGCTATGTCCCTTCCGTCTTCAAGAGAGCGAGAGTTGCACCCCTTCTCAAATAACCTACACTCGATCCCTCCGATGTCAACAACTACAGACCAGTATCCCTTCTTTCTTTTCTCTCCAAAACTCTTGAGCGTGCCGTCTTTAGCCAACTCTCTTGCTATCTCTCTCAGAATGACCTTCTTGATCCAAACCAGTCAGGTTTCAAGACTGGTCATTCAACTGAGACTGCTCTTCTCTGTGTCACAGAGGCTCTCCGCACTGCTAAAGCTAACTCTCTCTCCTCTGCTCTTGTCCTTCTAGACCTGTCTGCTGCCTTTGATACTGTGAACCATCAGATCCTCCTCTCCACCCTCTCCGAGTTGGGCATCTCCGGCGCGGCTCACTCTTGGATTGCGTCCTACCTGACCGGTCGCTCCTACCAAGTGGCGTGGTGAGAATCTGTCTCCGCACCACGTGCTCTCACCACTGGTGTCCCCCGGGGCTCAGTTCTAGGCCCTCTCCTATTCTCGCTATACACCAAGTCACTTGGCTCTGTCATATCCTCACATGGCCACTCCTATCATTGCTACGCAGACGACACACAACTAATCTTCTCTTTTCCCCCTTCTGATAACCAGGTGGCGAATCGCATCTCTGCATGTCTTGCAGACATATCAGTGTGGATGACGGATCACCACCACAAGCTGAACCTCGGCAAGACGGAGCTGCTCTTCCTCCCGGGGAAGGACTGCCCATTCCATGATCTCGCCATCACGGTTGACAATTCCGTTGTGTCCTCCTCCCAGAGTGCAAAGAGCCTTGGTGTGACCCTGGACAACACCCTGTCGTTCTCCGCTAACATCAAGGCGGTGACCCGATCCTGTAGGTTCATGCTCTACAACATTGGGAGAGTACGACCCTGTCTTACACAGGAAGCGGCACAGGTCCTAATCCAGGCACTTGTCATCTCCCGTCTGGATTACTGCAACTCGCTGATGGTTGGGCTCCCTGCCTGTGCCATTAAACCCCTACAACTCATCCAGAATGCCGCAGCCCGTCTGGTGTTCAACCTTCCCAAGTTCTCACACGTCACCCCGCTCCTCCGCACACTCCACTGGCTTCCAGTTGAAGCTCGCATCTGCTACAAGACCATGGTGCTTGCCTACAGAGCTGTGAGAGGAACGGCACCTCCGTATCTTCAGGCTCTCATCAGTCCCTACACCCAAACGAGGGCATTGCGTTCATCCACCTCTGGCCTGCTGGCCCCCCTAGCTCTGCGGAAGCACAGTTCCCGCTCAGCCCAGTCAAAACTTTTCGCTTCTCTGGCACCCCAATGGTGGAACAAGCTCCCTCACGACGCCAGGACAGCGGAGTCACTCACCACCTTCCAGAGACACTTGAAACCCCAACTCTTTAAGGAATACCTGGGATTGGATAAAGTAATCCTTCTACCCCCCCTTACCCCACCCCATGAAAAAAATAAAAAATAAAAATAATAATAAACATATTGTAAAGTGGTTATCCCACTGGTTATAAGGTGAATGCACCAATTTGTAAGTCGCTCTGGATAAGAGCGTCTGCTAAATGACGTAAATGTAATGTGTATGTATATATATATGTGTGTGTGTGTGTGTGTGTGTATGTATGTATATATATATATATATATATATATATATATATATATATACAGTGGGGAAAAAATGTATTTAGTCAGCCACCAATTGTGCAAGTTCTCCCACTTAAAAAGATGAGAGAGGCCTGTCATTTTCATCATAGGTACACGTCAACTATGACAGACAAATTGAGGGAAAAAAATCCAGAAAATCACATTGTAGGATTTTTAATGAATTTATTTGCAAATTATGGTGGAAAATAAGTATTTGGTCACCTACAAACAAGCAAGATTTCTGGCTCTCACAGACCTGTAACTTCTTCTTTAAGAGTTTTCTCTGTCCTCCACTCGTTACCTGTATTAATGGCACCTGTTTGAACTTGTTATCAGTATAAAAGACACCTGTCCACAACCTCAAACAGTCACACTCCAAACTCCACTATGGCCAAGACCAAAGAGCTGTCAAAGGACACCAGAAACAAAATTGTAGACCTGCACCAGGCTGGGAAGACTGAATCTGCAATAGGTAAGCAGCTTGGTTTGAAGAAATCAACTGTGGGAGCAATTATTAGGAAATGGAAGACATACAAGACCACTTATAATCTCCCTCGATCTGGGGCTCCACGCAAGATCTCACCCCGTGGGGTCAAAATGATCCCAAGAACGGTGAGCAAAAATCCCAGAACCACACGGGGGGACCTAGTGAATGACCTGCAGAGAGCTGAGACCAAAGTAACAAAGCCTACCATCAGTAACACACTACGCCGCCAGAGACTCAAATCCTGCAGTGCAGACGTGACCCCCTGCTTAAGCCAGTACATGTCCAGGCCCGTCTGAAGTTTGCTAGAGTGCATTTGGATGATCCAGAAGAGGATTGGGAGAATGTCATATGTCATATGGTCAGATGAAACCAAAATAGAACTTGTCGTGTTTGGAGGACAAAGAATGCTGAGTTGCATCCAAAGAACACCATACCTACTGTGAAGCATGGGGGTGGAAACATCATGCTTTGGGGCTGTTTTTCTGCAAAGGGACCAGGACGACTGATCCGTGTAAAGGAAAGAATGAATGGGGCCATGTATCATGTGATTTTGAGTGAAAACCTCCTTCCATCAGCAAGGGCATTGAAGATGAAACGTGGCTGGGTCTTTCAGCATGACAATGATCCCAAACACACCGCCCGGGCAACGAAGGAGTGGCTTCGTAAGAAGCATTTCAAGGTCCTGGAATGGCCTATCCAGTCTCCAGATCTCAACCCCATAGAAAATCTTTGGAGGGAGTTGAAAGTCCGTGTTGCCCAGCGACAGCCCCAAAACATCACTGCTCTAGAGGAGATCTGCATGGAGGAATGGGCCAAAATACCAGCAACAGTGTGTGAAAACCTTGTGAAGACTTACAGAAAACGTTTGACCTGTGTCATTGCCAACAAAGGGTATATAACAAAGTATTGAGAAACTTTTGTTATTGACCAAATACTTATTTTCCACCATGATTTGCAAATAAATTCATAAAAAATCCTACAATGTGATTTTCTGGAATTTCTTTCCTCATTTTGTCTGTCATAGTTGACGTGTACCTATGATGAAAATTACAGGCCTCTCTCATCTTTTTAAGTGGGAGAACTTGCACAATTGGTGGCTGACTAAATACTTTTTTCCCCCACTGTATATATATATATATACAGTGGGGAAAAAAAGTATTTAGTCAGCCACCAATTGTGCAAGTTCTCCCACTTAAAAAGATGAGAGAGGCCTGTAATTTTCATCATAGGTACACGTCAACTATGACAGACAAAATGAGGAAAGAAATTCCAGAAAATCACATTGTAGGACTTTTAATGAATTTATTTGCAAATTATGGTGGAAAATAAGTATTTGGTCAATAACAAAAGTTTCTCAATACTTTGTTATATACCCTTTGTTGGCAATGACACAGGTCAAATGTTTTCTGTAAGTCTTCACAAGGTTTTCACACACTGTTGCTGGTATTTTGGCCCATTCCTCCATGCAGAGCTCCTCTACAGCAGTGATGTTTTGGGGCTGTCGCTGGGCAACACGGACTTTCAACTCCCTCCAAATATTTTCTATGGGGTTGAGATCTGGAGACTGGCTAGGCCACTCCAGGACCTTGAAATGCTTCTTACGAAGCCACTCCTTCGTTGCCCGGGCGGTGTGTTTGGGATCATTGTCATGCTGAAAGACCCAGCCATGTTTCATTTTCAATGCCCTTGCTGATGGAAGGAGGTTTTCACTCAAAATCTCACGATACATGGCCCCATTCATTCTTTCCTTTACACGGATCAGTCGTCCTGGTCCCTTTGCAGAAAAACTGCCCCAAAGCATGATGTTTCCACCCCCATGCTTCACAGTGGGTATGGTGTTCTTTGGATGCAACTCAGCATTCTTTGTCCTCCAAACACGACGAGTTGAGTTTTTACCAAAAAGTTATATTTTGGTTTCATCTGACCATATGACATTCTCCCAATCCTCTTCTGGATCATCCAAATGCACTCTAGCAAACTTCAGACGGGCCTGGACATGTACTGGCTTAAGCAGGGGGACACGTCTGGCACTGCAGGATTTGAGTCCCTGGCGGCGTAGTGTGTTACTTTGGTCCCAGCTCTCTGCAGGTCATTCACTAGGTCCCCCCGTGTGGTTCTGGGATTTTTGCTCACCGTTCTTGTGATAATTTTGACCCCACAGGGTGAGATCTTGCGTGGAGCCCCAGATCGAGGGAGATTATCAGTGGTCTTGTATGTCTTCCATTTCCTAATACTTGCACCCACAGTTGATTTCTTCAAACCAAGCTGCTTACCTATTGCAGATTCAGTCTTCCCAGCCTGGTGCAGGTCTACAATTTTGTTTCTGGTGTCCTTTGACAGCTCTTTGGTCTTGGCCATAGTGGAGTTTGGAGTGTGACTGTTTGAGGTTGTGGACAGGTGTCTTTTATACTGATAACAACTTCAAACAGGTGCCATCAATACAGGTAATGAGTGGAGGACAGAGGAGCCTCTTAAAGAAGAAGTTACAGGTCTGTGAGAGCCAGAAATCTTGCTTGTTTGTAGGTGACCAAATACTTATTTTCCACCATAATTTGCAAATAAATTCATTAAAAATCCTACAATGTGACATTCTGGATTTTTTTTCTCAATTTGTCTGTCATGGTTGACGTGTACCTATGATGAAAATTACAGGCCTCTCTCATCATTTTAAATGGGAGAACTTGCACAATTGGTGGCTGACTAAATACTTTTTTCCCCCACTGTATGTACATATGTATGTTTATATGTATTTATATGTATATACAGTGGGGAGAACAAGTATTTGATACACTGCCGATTTTGCAGGTCTGTAATTTTTATCATAGGTACACTTCAACTGTGAGAGACGGAATCTAAAACAAAAATCCAGAAAATCACATTGTATGATTTTTAAGTAATTAATTTGCATTTTATTGCATGACATAAGTATTTGATACATCCGAAAAGCAGAACTTAATATTTTGTACAGAAACCTTTGTATGCAATTACAGAGATCATACGTTTCCTGTAGGTCTTGACCAGGTTTGCACACACTGCAGCAGGGATTTTGGCCCACTCCTCCATACAGACCTTCTCCAGATCCTTCAGGATTCGGGGCTGTCGCTGGGCAATACAGACTTTCAGCTCCCTCCAAAGATTTTCTATTGGGTTCAGGTCTGGAGACTGGCTAGGCCACTCCAGGACCTTGAGATGCTTCTTACGGAGCCACTCCTTAGTTGCCCTGGCTGTGTGTTTCGGGTCGTTGTCATGCTGGAAGACCCAGCCACGACCCATCTTCAATGCTCTTACTGAGGGAAGGAGGTTGTTGGCCAAGATCTCGCGATACATGGCCCCATCCATCCTCCCCTCAATACGGTGCAGTCGTCCTGTCCCCTTTGCAGAAAAGCATCCCCAAAGAATGATGTTTCCACCTCCATGCTTCACGGTTGGGATGGTGTTCTTGGGGTTGTACTCATCCTTCTTCTACCTCCAAACACGGCGAGTGGAGTTTAGACCAAAAAGCTCTATTTTTGTCTCATCAGACCACATGACCTTCTCCCATTCCTCCTCTGGATCATCCAGATGGTCATTGGCAAACTTCAGACGGGCCTGGACATGCGCTGGCTTGAGCAGGGGGACCTTGTGTGAACTGCAGGATTTTAATCCATGATGGCGTAGTGTGTTACTAATGGTTTTCTTTGAGACTGTGGTCCCAGCTCTCTTCAGGTCATTGACCAGGTCCTGCCGTGTAATTCTGGGCTGATCCCTCACCTTCCTCATGATCAATGATGCCCCACGAGGTGAGATCTTGCATGGAGCCCCAGACTGAGGGTGATTGACCGTCATCTTGAACTTCTTCCATTTTCTAATAATTGCGCCAACAGTTGTTGCCTTCTCACCAAGCTGCTTGCCTATTGTCCTGTAGCCCATCCCAGCCTTGTGCAGGTCTACAATTTTATCCCTGATGTCCTTACACAGCTCTCTGGCCTTGGCCATTTTTGAGAGGTTGGAGTCTGTTTGATTGAGTGTGTGGACAGGTGTCTTTTATACAGGTAACAAGTTCAAACAGGTGCGGTTAATACAGGTAATGAGTGGAGAACAGGAGGGCTTCTTAAAGAAAAACTAACAGGTCTGTGAGAGCCGGAATTCTTACTGGTTGGTAGGTGATCAAATACTTATGTCACGCAATAAAATGCAAATTAATTACTTAAAAATCATACAATGTGATTTTCTGCATTTTTGTTTTAGATTCCATCTCTCACAGTTGAAGTGTACCTATGATAAAAATTACAGACCTCTACATGCTTTGTAAGTAGGAAAACCTGCAAAATCGGCAGTGTATCAAATACTTGTTCTCCCCACTGTATGTATATATGTATATGTATATGTATATATATTTAAAAACATGGGAGATTGGAAGTGATGCAGGCAATTACATTGATGGAAATTACAATCTATCTGCAATATTAAGCTGATCTACCCCCCCCCCCCCAAAAAAATAAATATATATATATAAATAATAATAATTAAAAAATATAAAAAACTTTCTTCTGAAACTTGTCAGTATATTCTTGTTCTGAGAAATGAAGGCTATTCCATGCGAGAAATTGCCAAGAAACTGAAGATCTCGTACAACGCTGTGTACTACTCGCTACACAGAACAGCGCAAACTGGCTCTAACCAGAATAGAAAGAGGAGTGGGAGGCCCCGGTGCACAACTGAGCAAGAGGACAAATACATTAGAGTGTCTAGTTTGAGAAACAGGCACCTCACAGGTCCTCAACTGGCAGCTTCATGAAATAGTACCCGCAAAACACCAGTCTCAACGTCAACAGCGACTCCAGGATGCTGACCTTCTAGGCAGAGTTGCAAAGAAAAAGCCATATCTCAGACTGGCCAATAAAAAATCAAAGATTAAGATGGGCAGCCTGTCTGTGGAGGGCACATTCTCAGTAGGCATCATGGTAAATAACTGTTATTTAGGTCTCTGGTCAGTTCAGATGGACATAATCAGAGACGCAAGTCCTTATATCCTGAAAATCATATAAAGTCATAAAGTCTTAAACGATTTGGTCAAGTCAAACTAGATCTATATAAAGACTTGGAGAGCTGAGAGGCAAGAAAGTATAAAGACAGTCATTTCCCTAATGGGGTTGTTATGCACAGTAACAAGCAAAGAGAGAGAGAGAGAGAGAGTTGACAGACATGACTTGATGGGAAGAAGAAGAAGAAGAAGAAGAAGAAGAAGAAGAAGAAGAAGAAGAAGAAGAAGAAGAAGAAGAAGAAGAAGAAGAAGAAGAAGAAGAAGAAGAAGAAGAAGAAGAAGAAGAAGAAGAAATGGGGGAGGAGGAGTTACTACTAACATGTTCTGACAAAACCCTTATTAACAGCTCTCCAAGCTGTCAGGGTCTGTTTTCCTGTTCAACCCCATCTGAGGCCCACTACTGTAGAATGTTAACATCATCAATTTTTTAATTCAGTCCTTTGCTAGTCGTCTCTGTCCCTATTGTATTTTGCCTACAGTGAATAATGATGCATTACCATTAGGCTGTCAGCAATATGCAAACAGCATCACAAACTTCTAGGAAAATGTATAAAACGAATTTCCCAAAAGGTTTATTATAACGTAATGAGCCGAGGGAGGTGAAAGTAGTCATGATTTGACAGGAAACTAAGTGTCCATAATGAGAGACAGGGGGATTAGTGATTTGATTTAATCATTTCAGTATCTCACTACTGTACGTATATCACCTTCTTCTTCTTCTTCTTCTTCTTCTTCTTCTTCTTCTTCTTCTTCTTCTTCTTCTTCTTCTTCTTCTTCATCATCATTATCATTATCTAAATTCAGCAGTGTGTGCAAGTGCTGAGTATGTAACTCTGTCCCTGTATTATGTATTCTGGTTAATAATCACTGTCTGCAAACAGCATCACACACATTTATCAAAGCACTGAGCCATATGTAATTCATGAGAAATGCAAAGGATGACAACCAAGGACCTTGAAACCAAAGGAAAATAACTGAAAATCGAGGGAAAACGACTCCCACCTAATTTCCCCATTCATTCCCTAAGGGGTTGGACTTTAGAGACTCAGGAGTGACCAGCTGTAGCTACTGTAGCTTTGTGCCTCTTCTATGGTGAGGCAGGTAGCTTAGTGGGTAAGAGCGTTGTGCCAGTAACCAAAAGGTTGCTGGTTCTAATCCCCGAGCCGACTAGGTGAAAAATCTGTCGATTTGCCCTTAAGCAAGGCACTTAACCCTAATTGCTCCTGTAAGTCGCTCTGGATAAGAGCGTCTGCTAAATGACTAAAATGTAAATGTAGCCTGGTAAACCAGATTGAATGCTGTGCTTACCATTGTTAGTACTGTGCACAGAGTTCAGTCTGGTCTAATCAGGTTACTCTTCTGATTTCTACCCGAAAGGAAGTAGCTGACCCTAGTCCCTAGCTCATTCATCTGTATTGAGTTAGTTAGAGCTCTGGCTGTTCAGATGGCAATGCCTTCCCAGTATAATACTATCCCATGGAACTCAGTTTATTCCCTTAGTTAGCTCAGACATATGGATATCTTTCACAGAAAAAGAAAGGTGGATGCATGAGTTGAATTGACTAGGCTAGGGCCTCATTCAACCCATTAGTAAAGTATAGACTATCCCCTGATTGGCCTGTTGTAATTTCCTACAGACTCCTTCCTCACAGATTGGTAATATTGTTTGAATGTTTAGGGTCGTCTTTGTCTCTCCCATTTCCTTTTCACAATCTATTGTTTTCATCTTCAAATATATTGTTTCCTGTTGTTTCCCCCAAAATGTGTTCTTATCAGTTTGAGATGATCAACAGAGCTTCAGGTTCCTTGGTGTCCACATCACCAACAAACTATCATGGTCCAAACACACCAAGACAGTCGTGAAGAGGGCACGACAAAGCCTATTCCCCCTCAGGAGACTGAAAAGATTTGGCATGGATCCTCAAAAAGTTCTACAGCTGCAACATCGAGAGCATCCTGACTGGTTGCATCACCGCCTGGTATGGCAACTGCTCGGCCTCCGACCGCAAGGCACTACAGAGGGTAGTGCGTATGGCCCAGTACATCACTGGGGGCCAAGCTTTCTGCCATCCAGGACCTCTATACCAGGCGGTGTCAGAGGAAGGCCCTAAAAATTGTCAAAGACTCCAGCCACCTTAGTCATAGACTGTTCTCTCTGCTACCGCACGGCAAGCAGTACCGGAGCGCCAAGTCTAGGTCCAAAAGGCTTCTTAACAGCTTCTACCCCCAAGCCATAAGACTCCTGAACAGCTAATCATGGCTACCCGGACTATTTGCATTGCCCCCCCACCACACCCCCTCTTTTGCACTGCTGCTACTCTGTTTATTATCGATGCATAGTCACTTTAACTCTACCCACATGTACATATTACCTCAATTACCTCGACTAACCGGTGCCCCCGCACATTGACTCTGTACCAGTACCCCCTGTATATAGCCTCCCTACTGTTCTTTTATTTTACTGCTACTCTTTAATTATTTGCTATTTTTATTTTTGCTGCTTTGTTGGCTAAGGGCTTGTAAGTAAGAATTTCACTGTAAGGCTGTTGTATTCGGCGCATGTGGCAAATCAAATTTGATTTGATTTTGATTTGATTAAAAATTCAGATTGATGCTTTCAACTGCCCAAAAAAGTTTATTGGTATACCAATTCCCTGGACTAGAGTAAACTCCAGCAATCTCACACACTTTTCATAGAACTGAATTGCTGTTCTTGCTTCTGTGTCAACTTCTAGGCTAAACAGGGCCAATGGTGTAAAGTATGCTCATGCAACAGCAAAGGACCCGGAGGAACAGATATAGAACAGTTAGGTGTTAATCACGCAATTTACAACATTTGAACATCCTCTCTCTCTCTTTCCCTCTATCGCTCTCTGGGTGCCCAAAACCAATGTATAATAAACCACTATACAAGACAGCACATGCACAGTCCACCTACACACATAACACAATTGCAGAGCAAAACAGTGTCAATCATTGTGTGATATCATTCTACAACCCTGTATTTTCATATAATACTCTGTTATCAAATAACAAATCATTTGTATTTAGGCTTCATCCCCAGCATGTGTTTATTCAATTAAAGTGGAACTGAAAGCATTTTAGCAACATGAAATCTTATTAAAATCTGTTCATATACACCCCCAGGATGAATATGACACTTTTAAAAAACACATTCTGACAAGCGAGCACTTAGTTATGGTCTTTTTCACATTTTCATAAATTCGTAGAATGTTTGGGAATTACGGATACCAAGGCGTTTGTGAAAATTCTATAGCAATATAGAGTGGGAAAGCGGCCGTATGTTTGGACAATTAATAGACACTGCAGTAAATAAAACCTAATAACAATATCGGTCTCATCCAGGACCGGAGTCTACGCAGACCGGTGCGCCATAGCTGTAGGCCTTTATGCAAACAAGACATTTGCCACACGGGCCTGCCATCATTGACTTTGAACTGGACTGTGTGTTTACAGGCAACAGCGCGACTTTAGATCATTAGAACGGATTCGCCTAAAGCCACCTGAATGGATATCTGCAAATATGTAAATACCACGGGAGTCCTCTTATATTTGTGAACTTTACAGTCCTATTGATCAAACAACCATGAAAAGGTAGGTTATATATTGTGCACATCAACAACAAAAGAGCAACAACTAATGCTAGCAAGTGCAAGATGAGCTAAAATCTAACCAAGGAACATTAGATAAACCCTCTCAATTTTTTTCTGTTGGTTGGCCATCAAAATTGCACTGATAAACGATGGGGAATTGTTGCCTACTCGTCCTTTTGTAGCATGCCAATGCATGCTTGTCCTAACCAAGCACCCAAGCTAACTGGCTAAAGTTGGCTAGCTTGCTAGCTAGCTACTTCCAGAAACAAATGAGAGAACACCTCACTCTGACCATTTGACTCGCCGTAGCAGAGCTGGTTAGGCCGTTTACATGTTATCTACAGGGTTCGTGACTAACTATTGCTTTTTTTGCCTATGTTTACTGACACCGGTCATATTCAATGGGTGTTGCGCGTTCGTAAGTTCAACAGTTATTCTGCACTCTGGCACACTCAGACGAGAGTGATCTGAAATAGGAGTAGATACCCAGAGTGAATTTGCGAATGCAAGAGATATTCTAACTGGATTAACAGTCATCAAAGTACAGCATAGCTAGCTAGCTTGCAAAACTATTCACATTTCTTGCTAGCTAACCAAATTACACCTACATCTCTAGTTGTGTACAGTGGGGAAAAAAAGTATTTAGTCAGCCACCAATTGTGCAAGTTCTCCCACTTAAAAAGATGAGAGAGGCCTGTAATTTTCATCATTTTTTATTTATTTTTTTCACCTTTATTTAACCAGGTAAGCCAGTTGAGAACAAGTTCTCATTTACAACTGCGACCTGGCCAAGATAAAGCAAAGCAGTGCGATAAAAACAACACAGAGTTACATATGGGGTAAAAAACATAAAGTCAAAAATACAACAGAAAATATATATACAGTGTGTGCAAATGTAGCAAGTTATGGAGGTAAGGCAATAAATAGGCTATAGTGCAAAATAATTACAATAGTATTAACACTGGAATGCTAGATGTGCAAGAGATTATGTGCAAATAGAGATACTGGGGTGCAAAAGAGCAAAATAAATAACAATATAGGGATGAGGTAGTTGGGTGGGCTAATTTCAGATGGGCTGTGTACAGGTGCAGTGATCGGTAAGGTGCTCTGACAACTGATGCTTAAAGTTAGTGAGGGAGATAAGAGTCTCCAGCTTCAGAGATTTTTGCAATTCGTTCCAGTCATTGGCAGCAGAGAACTGGAAGGAATGGCGGCCAAAGGAGGTGTTGGCTTTGGGAATGACCAGTGAGATATACCTGCTGGAGCGCAGACTACGGGTGGGTGCTGCTATGGTGACCAATGAGCTAAGATAAGGCGGGGATTTGCCTAGCAGTGATTTATAGATGGCCTGGAGCCAGTGGGTTTGACGACGAACATGTAGTGAGGACCAGCCAACAAGAGCGTACAGGTCACAGTGGTGGGTAGCGTATGGGGCTTTGGAGACAAAACGGATGGCACTGTGATAGACTACATCCAATTTGCTGAGTAGAGTGTTGGAGGCTATTTTGTAAATGACATCGCCGAAGTCAAGGATCGGTAGGATAGTCAGTTTTACGAGGGCATGTTTGGCAGCATGAGTGAAGGAGGCTTTGTTGCGAAATAGGAAGCCGATTCTAGATTTAACTTTGGATTGGAGATTCTTTATGTGAGTCTGGAAGGAGAGTTTACAGTCTAACCAGATACCTAGGTATTTGTAGTTGTCCACATACTCTAGGTCAGACCCGTCAAGAGTGGTGATTCTAGTCGGGTGGGCGGGTGCCAGCAGCGTTCGATTGAAAAGCATGCATTTAGTTTTACTAGTGTTTAAGAGCAGTTGGAGGCTACTGAAGGAGTGTTGTATGGCATTGAAGCTCGTTTGGAGGTTTGTTAACACAGTGTCCAATGAAGGGCCAGATGTATACAAAATGGTATCGTCTGCGTAGAGGTGGATCTGAGAGTCACCAGCAGCAAGAGCGACATCATTGATATACACGGAGAAAAGTGTCTGCCCAAGAATTGAACCCTGTGGCACCCCCATAGAGACTGCCATAGGTCCAGACAACAGGCCCTCCGATTTGACACACTGAACTCTATCTGAGAAGTAGTTGGTGAACCAGGCGAGGCAGTCATTTGAGAAACCAAGGCTATTTAGTCTGCCAATAAGAATGCGGTGGTTGACAGAGTCGAAAGCCTTGGCCAGGTCGATGAAGACAGCTGCACAGTACTGTCTATTATCAATCGCGGTTACAATATCGTTTGGACCTTGAGCGTGGCTGAAGTGCACCCATGACCAGCTCGGAAACCGGATTGCATAGCGGAGAAGGTACGTGGTATTCGAAATGGTCGGTGATCTGTTTGTTAACTTGGCTTTCAAATACTTTCGAAAGGCAGGGCAAGATGGATATAGGTCTGTAGCAGTTTGGATCTAGAGTGTCACCCCCTTTGAAGAGGGGGATGACCGCGGCAGCTTTCCAATCTCTGGGGATCTCAGACGTTATGAAAGAGAGGTTGAACAGACTAGTAATAGGGTTTGCGACAATTTCGGCGGCTAGTTTTAGAAAGAAAGGGTCCAGATTGTCTAGCCCAGCTGATTTGTAGGGGTCCAGATTTTGCAGCTCTTTCATAGGTACACGTCAACTATGACAGACAAATTGAGATTTTTTTTCTCCAGAAGATCACATTGTAGGATTTTTAATGAATTTAGTTGCAAATTATGGTGGAAAATAAGTATTTGGTCACCTACAAACAAGCAAGATTTCTGGCTCTCACAGACCTGTAACTTCTTCTTTAAGAGGCTTCTCTGTACTCCACTCGTTACCTGTATTAATGGCACCTGTTTGAACTTGTTATCAGTATTAAAGACACCTGTCCACAACCTCAAACAGTCACAATTCCAAACTCCACTATGGCCAAGACCAAAGAGCTGTCAAAGGGCAGCAAAAACAAAATTGTAGACCTGCACCAGGCTGGGAAGACTGAATCTGCAATAGGTAAGCAGCTTGGTTTGAATAAATCAACTGTGGGAGCAATTATTAGGAAATGGAAGACATACAAGACCACTGATAATCTCCCTCGATCTGGGGCTCCACGCAAGATCTCACCCCGTGGGGTCAAAATGATCACAAGAATGGTGAGCAAAAACCCCAGAACCACACGGGGGGACCTAGTGAATGACCTGCAGAGAGCTGGGACCAAAGTAACAAAGCCTACCATCAGTAACACACTACGCCACCAGGGATCAAATCCTGCAGTGCCAGACGTGTCCCGCTGCTTAAGCCAGTACATGTCCAGGCCCGTCTGAAGTTTGCTAGAGTGCATTTGGATGATCCAGAAGAGGATTGGGAGAATGTCATATGGTCAGATGAAACCAAAATATAACTTTTTGGTAAAAACTCAACTCGTCGTGTTTGGAGGACAAAGAATGCTGAGTTGCATCCAAAGAACACCATACCTACTGTGAAGCATGGGGGTGGAAACATCATGCTTTGGGGCTGTTTTTCTGCAAAGGGACCAGGACGACTGATCCGTGTAAAGGAAAGAATGAATGGGGCCATGTATCGTGAGATTTTGAGTGAAAACCTCCTTCCATCAGCAAGGGCATTGAAGATGAAACGTGGCTGGGTCTTTCAGCATGACAATGATCCCAAACACACCGCCCGGGCAACGAAGGAGTGGCTTCGTAAGAAGCATTTCAAGGTCCTGGAGTGGCCTAGCCAGTCTCCAGATCTCAACCCCATAGAAAATCTTTGGAGGGAGTTGAAAGTCCGTGTTGCCCAGCAACAGCCCCAAAACATCATTGCTCTAGAGGAGATCTGCATGGAGGAATGGGCCAAAATACCAGCAACAGTGTGTGAAAACCTTGTGAAGACTTACAGAAAACGTTTGACCTGTGTCATTGCCAACAAAGGGTATATAACAAAGTATTGAGAAACTTTTGTTATTGACCAAATACTTATTTTCCACCATAATTTGCAAATAAATTCATTAAAAATCCTACAATGTGATTTTCTGGATTTTTTTTCTCATTTTGTCTGTCATAGTTGACGTGTACCTATGATGAAAATTACAGGCCTCTCTCATCTTTTTGAGTGGGAGAACTTGCACAATTGGTGGCTGACTAAATACTTTTTTCCCCCACTGTATATCCAGCTAAAAATGATATTAGGGGAAAATGTCAGTCACTCACCCACTCCTCCAATGAATGACATCATCCTAGCAGCTAGCAAGCTAGCTATCTAGCTAACGTTAGGCTCTGTGTTCTTAGCTTGCTACATAAATAGATGCGCTAGCCTATTAGCCACGTTATGACTGACTTGTGATCATTGCCCTTGCTAGTTTGATTGTATTGACATTCCTAGCCTTAGTTACATTAGTCCGATTTTGTCCAAAATATTGAGTCATTGAAACTGAAATAGTGCATCCTGAAGGGAGGCAGCAAACAATGTACCAGGCCAGCTGTGATTTACAACCTGATAGCAATATTTTTATGACTACCAAGAACTGTATTGGTGAATTATATTACTCATGCATCGAACTGCATCCATCTATTCTGCCAACAATGCGTTAGTGTACGTCATGGAATGTTGAGTCAAATATAACCTATTTTTAAAACCTCTAATAAAGTTGGTTTTGTAGCATAAACTGGGAATTTGACATTTTTGACTGATAATATGATTGTTGGTTTCATATCTGCAAAGTAGTTAAAACGCTGTCAGTTCCACTTTAAGCAATGAGGCCCGGGGGTGTGTGGGATATGGCCAATATAACCACGGATAAGGGCTGTTCTTAGGCACGACGCAACGCAAACCCCCAAGGTGTGTTATTGCTATTATAAACTGGTTACCAACGTAATTAGAACATTAAACAAGTAGTTTTCCATCATACCCATGGTATATTGTCTCATATACCACATCTTTCAGCCAATCAGCATCCAGGAGCCAAACAACCCAGTTTATAGCATGGAATGGATCATTTAGGCTTCATCCCCACACTCTTAGAACAAAAAACTGTCCCCATTGGAGAACACTTTGAAGAACTCTTTTTGGATCCAGGTAGAACCCCTTTGGTTCCAGGTAGAACCCTTTTGGGTTCCATGTAGAACCCTTTCCACAGAGTGTTCATTCAACATGGGATACAGTAGATTGACTTCCATCCCACTTCCACTGACAACATGAACAAGAACAAAATGAAAAATCAAACCCGTGGTAAAAAGGCTATATCACACCTTTTCACTTAATCTGCACGCTATATTTTGCTCCATGTATTTAAACATTAATAAGAGACTTAAATACAATAAAAGTCTTAAAGAATCCATTCCTCCAGGCGAGATTTAATTAATTTAAAAAGATTTAAGTTAACATTCAATAAAAGGGTAATGAAAGATGATAAATCTTGCATGAATCTCTCTGAGGCAGTGTGTGTGCTTGTGTGTGTGAGTGTGTGTGTGTGTGTGTGTGTGTGTGTGTGCGTCTGGCGCAAGTGTGTGTGACATATATGTCTCAGTGTGTGAGTGCGACCGTGTGTGTGACCTAATGACCTCTATTATAATCCACATATATCTTCAACATTAATCAAAAACCAATTAAACTCCCAGAACTATCACACGGGTTCTGTGTCCCCGGGAAAGTGAAACCACTTCTTATCCTCTAAGAGCCCATAAATCATACCAAATTGATCAAAGTCAATATGTGTTTGGTCGCCTGTTAGTACGTGAGTGGTTGTGTGAGGCTAAACACACAGGAGACTGAAAGGAATCCTATGCAACCAGTGTCATCAACATCCACTTTAACAGTCTGCTTCTTGTAGTGTAGCGTGGTGGGAAGTCCTGTTTGGGATGGTGTGATAAACTGTCTCCTTTTCTTAATGGATGGATGGGTGGGTGGATGGATGGGTGGATAGATGGGTGGATGGATGGGTGGATGGGTGGATGGATGGATGGATGGATGGATGGGTGGATGGGTGGATGGGTGGATGGGTGGATGGGTGGATGGGTGGATGGATGGATGGATGGATGGATGGATGGATGGATGGATGGATGGATGGATGGATGGATGGATGGATGGATGGATGGATGGATGGATGGATGGATGGATGGATGGATGGATGGATGGATGGATGGATGGATGGATGGATGGATGGACGGTGGGTGGGTGGGACAGTGAGAGGCCATGAGGGTCACTGACAGATCTAGGACACAGTCGCCAAACAACCTAACACTGACACAGTCCAGTACTGACAGTGCAGCACAAGGACTGCTACAGGGCTGAAACCAGGACAGCTACCACAGATCCACAGCGTTTTCATATAGAGTACGTGACAGGTTGGAGCTTCCCATTAAAGGCCTAAAACCCACTTCATATTTTATACAGTCATCACACTCCATACTCCATACTCCATATTTCATGGTCATTCATATTAATTCATTCATGTTCTGTCTAGGGTTGAGAGAAAGAGGCAGATAACCTTGTCTCCTTCGGGAGAGACTCTCTCTGCCCAGGAATGGAGAATTCCATCAATCAAACCACAGTATGGTTTTAGATATGGTAAAAATAACAGGAAGACTGGTGGTTTTAGATATGGTAATTAGGGCTGTGACGGTCATGAAATGTTGGATCATGATAATTGGCAAGCCAAATGACCGCGGTCTTCGTTCTAAAAATTAAGAAAAAAACAAACAAAATTTGGATGCACATTTGTTGGAGGGATGCACATTTTCGGGTTTCCTCCACTCCTGACCGCATCTGCTGCCATAGAAATGGAATGAATAGAACGGGCGTCCCCATTCAAGTCAATGATGGCATAATGGGTGGACTGGCAAGTTGTCACTAGTTAAAACAGCCACAAAGACAATAACCCCGCCTATTTCTACAGTTTATCTTCTTAAAATGTGATTTTAAACCTAAACCTAACCTTGACCACACTGCTTACCTTATGCCTAACCCTAACCTTAAATTAAGACCCCCCATCAGCTGTGCTGACTAAACCAACAACATAGCAGCCCTCTGAGGAAGGGGCTACTGACTAGTCAAGCAGCCAGTCAGCCTACCACCCCAAGCAGCCAGTCAGCCCACCACCCCAAGCAGCCAGTCAGCCCACCGCCCGAAGCAGCCAGTCAGCCTACCACCCCAAGCAGCCAGTCAGCCCACCACCCCAAGCAGCCAGTCAGCCCACCGCCCCAAACAGCCCACCACCCCAAGCAGCCAGTCAGCCCACCGCCCGAACAGCCACCCACCCCCAAGCGCCAGTAGCCCACGCCCCGAAGCAGCCAGTCAGCCATACCACCCCAAGCAGCCAGTCAGCCCACCACCCAAGCAGCAGTCAGCCCACCGCCCCCAAGCAGCCAGTCAGCCTACCACCCCAAGCAGCCAGTAGCCTACCACCCCAAGCAGCACAGTCAGCCCCACCGCCCCAAGCAGCCAGTCAGCCCACCGCCCCAAGCAGCCAGTCAGCCCACCACCCCAAGCAGCCAGTCGCCCATGCCCCAAGCAGCCAGTCAGCCCCACCGCCCCAAGCAACCAGTCAAGCCCACCACCCCAAGCAGCCAGTTCAGCCTACCACCCCAACCAGCCAGTCAGGCCACCACCCCAAAGAAGCCAGTCAGCCCACCACCCCAAGCAGCCAGTCAGCCCCACCGCCCCAAGCAGCCCCCACCACCCCAAGCAGCCAGTCACAGTCAGCCCACCACCCCAGCAGCCAGTCAGCCCCACCACCCCAAGCAGCCAGTCAGGCCACCACCCCAAGCAGCCAGTCAGCCCACCGCCCCAAGCAGCCCACCACCCCAAGCAGCCAGTCAGCCCACCGCCCCAAGCAGCCCACCACCCCAAGCAGCCAGTCAGCCCACCACCCCAAGCAGCCAGTCAGCCCACCACCCCAAGCAGCCAGTCAGCCTACCACCCCAAGCAGCCAGTCAGCCCACCACCCCAAGCAGCCAGTCAGGGAAGGAGCTACTGACACATCTGATGGGCGGAAGTCTGTGCTGTAGGTAGGGCTGGCACTAATACCGTATAACCCTGTAACTGACGGTTATGGACTATCATGAAAATAAAATGATCGTCATAACCGTAAAAAATCATTTGGGGAATGAACAGCTGATTGAAGACGGGAAGGCCGGGCATTTGTGAGGTTGAGTCTGTTTCTGCGGTAACATGGAGTCTTAACAACGTGATTAAACATGGAGTCTTAACAACGTGATTAAACATGGAGTCTTAACAACGTGATTAAACATGGAGTCTTAACAACGTGATTAAACATGGAGTCTTAACAACGTGATTAAACATGGAGTCTTAACAACGTGATTAAACATGGAGTCTTAACAACGTGATTAAACATGGAGTCTTAACAACGTGATTAAACATGGAGTCTTAACAACGTGATTAAACATGGAGTCTTAACAACGTGATTAAACGTTGTTGCCCCTTGCTGAAACAAGCTACTGCATTAACATTGCAACCTCATGTCACTGGCTGCTTTATGTGAATCTAACAGCAGCTAGGTGTAAGGAGCAGGGGTGACCTTTGAGTGGTGCTAGCTATAACGTTAATAACTAATCACAATCATTTGTGGGTGTTGAGTGGAGGTGGAGAGACTGCTCTCCCCTCTGTGCTCTCCCCTCTGTGCTCTCCTCTCTTGTTGTTATTATTACATTTGTTATTGTTGTTATTATTATTAATATTATTGTTGTTGTTATTATTTCAGTTGTTATTATTACAGTTGTTGTTGTTATTATTATTATTGTTATTATTATTATTACATTTGTTATTGATGTTATTATTATTCATATTATTGTTGTTTTTATTATTGCAGTTGTTGTTATTATTATTGTTGTTGTTGTTATTATTAGTGTTGTTGTTGTTATTATTACAGTTGTTATTGTTGTTAATATTATTAATAGTATTGTTGTTGTTATTATTACAGTTGTTGTTGTTATTATTATTATGATTACTGTTGTTATTATTATTGTTGTTATTGTTGTTATTATTATTACAGTTGCTATTGTTGTTATTATTATTCTTGTTATTATTATTGCAGTTGTTATTGTTGTTATTATTATTAGAGTTGTTATTATTACAGTTGTTATTGTTGTTATTGTTATTGTTGTTGTTAATATTACTGTTATTGTTATTAATATTATTATTATTATTATTATTATTATTATTATTGTTGTTGTTATTGTTATAATTTGATTTTACAAGGTGACTATGCAATGTGATGATACAACTCCCACCCACCACCACATCTGTCATGTTTTGTTTGTCTTGTCTCTTCTATGTTGTATTCCCTAAAAAACTATTAAAACAAATAGTTCAATAACCCTGCCTGCTTGTGTCTACAGTACATTTTCACAAGATATACAGTATATCTCAACTCCCCTAACTAAATAGTTTTTCTCAGATCTGTCAGATGCAACATGAAGTGAATAGGAGATTCCGCAAACCTTTATTATTATTATTTTTTTTTAAAATATATTTCTTAGGGGGTATATTTCCCTTTATTACTTTCCAACCCCACCACCCCTTCCCTAATTGGAGTAAACTAGTGAACAACAATGCTTAGGCCTCTACTTCCAGCTTATACATACTATATACATTTTATGGACACAGTCAATTTTACAATAATTCTATTTTGTTTGTTTTTACTCCTGAACTTCCTCTACCCTCAACCTCTCCAATAATTTTCATGATGTCCATCCGGTTTGCTTCTATATGCCATATCTTTTTAACTGTGCTCTTTCACAAAAGCTCTCAACCTATAATCTATATACTTATTATGGACACAGTATGCTTACATTATTAGTTATCTTGTTGTTATTAGTTGTTGTTAGTTGTTAATAGTCCCATCCTTCAACTCCATTCAACACCACCCATCTATCTCTTAACACCATCCATATTGGATTTCTATTTGCCATATATGTTTCAACAGTACTGTGATGTTTTACAAAAGTTCTGAACCTTTCTATTCTCATTGTTTCTACAGATTGTAAATTGTAAATAAACATTTTTGCTAAAATTATTATTATTTTATTGATTGATTGACTATGACTTTTCAGATCACCCAGTAATGCTATCTGCAGGGTTAGCTCCAGGTAAATGTTGCAATCCTTCAGCCATTCCTGGACCTGTGTCCAAAAACAAGCTACAAATGGACAGTACCAAAACAAATGATCTAAATATTCTGTCTCTTCGCAGCAAAATCTGCAGAGCTGGGAAGATTGTATTCCCCATATAAATAACATTCTATTGGTAGCAAGAACTTTATATAATAATTTAAATGGAAAAATGTGAAGTTTTGAATCCGGCGTCGTTTTGCGTATCAGTTCATAAACACTATGCCATGGGATCGGTACGCCACTCTATGGGACTCCCAATCACAGCCGGTCGTGATACAGCCTGGAATCGAACCAGGGGGTCTGTAGTGACACTTCAAGCACTGAGATGCAGTGCCTTAGACCGCTGCGCCACTCGGGAGCCCCAATGTATATGGGACGGCTGTCAATCCTTTGGTCCTTGAATGAAACTGGTATACTTTTTTATTCATCACAGTTTTCTTTAACCAATTATGTTCTTTAATGCAAGGCCAACAGACAAGTTACTTTTTCCCCCTTCCACTTTCCTTTTCCATTTTTGCGGTAATGCTGCAATTATTTGGTTGTATTTTTGGGTAGAGCAGACATTTCCATATGTATTGAGGGCTAGTTTCAAATGTTGCCATGTTTCTGTATTTTGAAATACTGTAATGTAGACTTTTGAACCAACTCACCCTCCTTTGATGTAGTCCAGGAACGTGTGTTCTGACTCCACTGTGAACGACAGCAGAGTTACCTGGGTAAAAATGACATTCAAAACAGTTACCAAATGGTTATATTCACCACTTAGGTAATCAACACTAAACATAATTTATTTACCAATTTAAACATCTGTTCACAACAACAGTGTCACCTGGGTAAAAATACATTCAAACCAGTTTTCTATTCTAAAAGGTTGCTTACCCACTTAGGTAATCAACACCAATACAATTTATACAAATACCAATTTAATAATAAGCACCATCCACATCCGTAATCAACACAAACCCAATTTACCAATTGAAATATTAAACACATGAATCCAGGGCCCGAGGGCTAACCAACCAACTGCCACCCAGGAGTGATTCATCTAGGTAGAATTAGTTTGTTTGATATCAGAGCTGCATATTAATATTGCTGTCACAGGGAGAAGATCCGTCTCTCTCTCTCACACACACACACACACACACACACACACACACACACACACACACACACACACACACACACACACACACACACACACACACACACACACACACACACACACACTCACTCACATCCATCTCACTGAGTTATGATGAGAGCAACATGATGGATGACTTGCTCTGTGATTTTAATGATCTAGCCACAGTCATCATATTGAGGCTCTGCATCCCAAACTGTGTGTGTGTGTGTGTGTGTGTGTGTGTGTGTGTGTGTGTGTGTGTGTGTATGTGTGTACGTGTGTGTGTGTGTATGTGTGTACGTGTGTGTGTGTGTGTGTGTGTGTGTGTGTGTGTGTGTGTGTGTGTGTGTGTGTGCCCAGGCAATAATAACAATGCACTGATTGTCTCCTAAACATCAGCCACTGGCTGGGCATGGCAGCCACTCAGTCACTGATAGGACAACAGGACATGTGGAGGAGGAGTGAAGAAGCAGCCACTCAGTCACTGATAGGACAACAGGACATGTGGAGGAGGAGTGAAGAAGCAGCCACTCAGTCACTGATAGGACAACAGGACATGTGGAGGAGGAGTGAAGAAGCAGCCACTCAGTCACTGATAGGACAACAGGACATGTGGAGGAGGAGTGAAGAAGCAGCCACTCAGTCACTGATAGGACAGTTATCATCTCTATAGACTCTCACCGGTTAACGTTGTTTGAGGCCATTACAACTTATTTCTCTTCTAGTGATCTTAATTTAGCCTGGTCCCAGATCTGTTTGTGTTTAGTATTGCATGCCAAACATCGCAATGACCGTTGAAGTTTAGCAAGACAGCAGATCAATGCAGATCTGGGACCAGGCTAATGTTTATTGTCTGGACCATAACAAAACAAAGCATCCTATCTTGTCTAGGATTCAGAAGAGATAACAAACAATTAGCTAAGGAAATTAAACCTCTACAATCCTCTTACTACAAACTCATTAATGAACACAACAAACAGAGATGATGGGGAAGAAATATACGGTTGCACCAGGCAGGAAGAGATGTAGATTTTAACCTGGAGTTTTTGACAGACTCACCGTCCCAGAGTTGATGTATCTCTTCTTCTTTACCTTCTTCTTGGCGTTCACCACCTAGGATTCGACAAGCACAACATGAGCATACTGATATTGATATAATGTAAAAATGATCCCATCAAATGTCTCCATTCCCCTTGGCCAATAAAGAACATCAGGTATGTTCATCCCCCATACATACTGTAGGTACAGTATATGTAACGGGGCATGTGAAACTCAGTCCCATAACTGCAGTGGGTAACGCTGAAATACCATCGATCAGACCCTCAGGCTTAGTGTAGTCCACAGGTTATTCCAGGCTGTTCATTGGGGTCTATCCTGGGTGTATTACATGCATGTGTATCCACACATCATAACAATGGAATGGAATCCCACCGAGGTTGCTATTTTTGAACAACACATGCCAATGTACGTATGTAAACACACACACACACAGCGAGAAAATGACCTGACTGCCGATGAGGGTGGGGAAGAGAGGTGATGGCTGATAAGAGACTATAACATAACATAACATGAGGTCATGATTGTGTATTCAGGACCTGAGGCCACAGGAAGGCGTGTATGATGCAGGATCTGGTAGTAAAATGATCGAGGTCATGTGAACCATCCCTAGTGCTCATTCTACAGGATCCACACATGGACACATGAAGTGCTGAATATCAAGTCAAAGGTAGCCTTCCCTTCCCCTGTCTCCACCCTCTCCTTCCTCTCCCTCGTCTCTCCCCCAGGCCTCTATCCTCTCTGTCACAGTGTTGTGGATCTCCCCCAGGCCTCCTTCCACTCTGTCACAGTGTTGTGGATCTCCCCCAGGCCTCCTTCCTCTCTGTCACAGTATTGTGGATCTCCCCCAGGCTTCTATCCTCTCTGTCACAGTATTGTGGTTCTCCCCCAGGCCTCCTTCCACTCTGTCACAGTATTGTGGATCTCCCCCAGGCCTCTATCCTCTCTGTCACAGTGTTGTGGATCTCCCCCAGGCCTCTATCCTCTCTGTCACGGTGTTGTGGTTCTCTTCCTGGCCTGGTAAAGACCCAGACCACTAAGCAAGGGGCACCACCAAGTCTGCAACACCACTAAGCAAGGGGCACCACCAAGTCTGCAACACCACTAAGCAAGGGGCACCACCAAGTCTGCAACACCACTAAGCAAGGGGCACCACCAAGTCTGCAACACCACTAAGCAAGGGGCACCACCAAGTCTGCAACACCACTAAGCAAGGGGCACCACCAAGTCTGCAACACCACTAAGCAAGGGGCACCACCATGTCACGATCGTTTACGGACGAGAAGGACCAAGGCGCAGCGTGATATGCATTCATATTTATTTCACGACTAAACACACAACAAAACAACAAATGAAACGTGACGTCCAAGGTAGACAAATAACATACCTCACACGGAACAAGATCCCACAACTGACAGGTGTCGAAAGGCTGCCCAAGTATGGTCCCCAATCAGAGACAACGAGCAACAGCTGCCTCTGATTGGGAACCACACAGGCCAACATAGATCTACACATTCTAGATCTTAAACATAGAAATAAACACAACACGAAATATACACATCCTGACTCAACAAATAAACGTCCCTTGAGTCAGGGCGTGACACACCAAGCAAGGGGCACCATGAAGACCAAGGAGCTCTCCAAACAGGTCAGGGACAAAGTTGTGGAGAAGTACAGATCACGGTGGTGTTATAAAAAAATATCAGAAACTTTGAACATCCCACGGAGCACCATTAAATCCAATATTAAAAAATTGAAAGAATATGGCACCACAACAAACCTGCCAAGAGAGGGCCGCCCACCAAAACTCACGGACCAGGCAAGGAGGGCATTAATCAAAGAGGCAACAAAGAGACCAAAGATAACCCTGACGGAGCTGCAATGCTCCACAGCAGAGATTGGAGTATCTGTCCACAGGACCACTTCAAGCCGTACACTCCACAGAGCTGGGCTTTACGGAAGAGTGGGACGGAGGTTCACTTTTCAGCAGGACAATGACGCAGCATATACTCAGTCATGGTACTAATTTCAGTGCCGTTTTCCTCAGGCTTAGGGGTGACTATGGTATCTACAACAGAGATTGTCATGGGTCTGGTTTAATTGGTCAAGGCGGATGTTTTTTTAATTACATTTTTTGAAATGTTTATGCTCCTAATGAGGGTACAGAGCATATTGCTGTATTTGATCAAATAAAGGAAACCTTAAGCCAGTGTGACCAAGTGGGGTGTATGGTTTTAGGGGGGGACTGGAACTGTACAGTGGATTTTACATTTTACTGTTGATCGCACTGCTGAAGAACCTCAACTGTGGTCAGCAATTTGTCTGTCTGTTCTATTAACTTCTACGGGATCGGTGTCCCGTAAATGGGACGGTTGAGCTAACGTGAGCTAATGTCATTAGCATGACTGTTGTAAGTAACAGCAAACTTTCCGGGACATAGACATGTCTTATATGGGCAGAAAGCTTAAATTCCTGTTAATCTAACTGCACTGTCCAATTCACAGTAGCTATTACAGTGAGAAAATACCATGCTATTGTTTGAGGAGAGTGCACAACAACAAAAAACGTATCACGGCAACTGGTTTGATATATTCACCTCTGAAGGTAAATAATGTACTTACATTCAGTAATCTTGCTCTGATTTGTCATCCTAAGGATCCCAGAGAATTTTTTTTGCATAGTTTTGTTTGATAAAATCAATTTATATATTCAAATGTAGGAACTGGGTTCTACAGTTTGAACCCCTGCTGTCTCTGGCTCCACTCCCACCCACCCCGCCCGGCCATCTAGATGTGTGAAAGTTAGTGTATAAACTAATGATCCATCATGTATGACATTCCTGGGAGTGTGTAAACTTACATTTTGTATTACCATATCATTTTTGTATGTTCTCTATAGTTATGTACTTGAAAATGTATAAATTGACCAATTTGGCACATTTGGGCAGACTTGATACAAAATTGTCCAGTATTGCAATGCTTCACTGGATCAATCTGAAACTTTGCACATAGACTGCTGAAATCTAAATTGCGCCTAAACTGCAATATTATATTGTGGCATTTCAAAGATGATGGAACAACATTTTTTTTTAAACCAGATCTAATGTGTTATTTTCTCCTACATTAATTTCACATTTCTACAAACTTCAAAGTGTTTCCTTTCAAATGTTATCAAGAATATGCATATCCTTGCTTCAGGTCCTGAGCTACAGGCAGTTAGGGTCCGATCCTTAAGAGGTTAACTGAGTTTGAGCTTTCTGGTGTGTGGAGAGTAAGAAATGCAAAAGTTAGGCAGTGCACATGGCTAAAAGTTAATGAAGGACATGTCAGTGCAGGAAGGTTAGACAGGTTGTGTGTATCTGAGCACTACTGTGGGAGGGTTGGAAGGTGTGACATCACTCCTGTGGGGTTTTCTGATCACCATATTGTTACTGTTGATATTCACTTGTCCACGAAGGTCATCACCTTATTGGTATTTTAATGTTAAGTTATTACATGAAGCCATGTTTTGTGAAAAGTTGTTGTTGTTTTGGGAAAAATTGAGGGTTATTAAATTGAATTTTGAGTCCTTGAGACAATGGTGGGAGGTTGGGGAGGCCCAAATACGTGTGTTTTGTCAACAGTATACCGCTCTGTCTCGAATTGAAGTTAAAGAGACTATCAGGGCCCTTGAACAGGACATCAAATCTATTGAGTTGAAGTTGCTCACTCAGAATGACCCCGGACTAGTCATGAACTTACAGGACAAGAGACATGAACTGAGGTTGTTTTTACAGGAAAGAGTGAAGGGTGCCTTGATTAGGTCTCGCTTTGCTACCCTCAAGGATATGGATGCTCCTAGTGCTTTAAAAAAAACCTAGGGCAGTCGACATTGCAACGCAAACAGATGGTCTGCCTTCGTCTCCCTGATGGGAAGGTGACCATGGATGACTTTGAGATGCGCCAACATGCCGTGGATTTCTACTCTGCCCTCTATAAGGCGGAGGATTGTGATCCTCTATGTGCTGAACAGTTGTTACATGGACTTCCTCAATTGGACTCTGAGCAGAGAGTTGCTTTGGACTCTGACATTACTCTGCAGGAGCTGTCCACTGCAGTTATGCAGCTCTCATCAGGCCGAGCCCCTGGCATCGATGGTTTACCATCTGATTTCAATAAGCAATTTTGGGAGGAGTTTTATGAAATGGTGTGTGAATCTTTTCATGAGGGTTCTCTTCCTGTATTCTGTCAACGTGCTGTGCTTTCATTGTTGCCAAAAAAGGGGGATTTGGTTCTTTAAAAAAACTGCAGACCTTTTGCATTGCTGTGTGCAGAACATACAATTATATCTAAGTGTCTCTCAAACAGGATGAAATAATATCTGGGGCTGTTGGTCCACAAGGACCAGTCTTACTGTGTACCTGACCGTTCTATTGTTGATAACTTGTTTCTAATAAGAGATGTTTTAGACATTTGTAAACTGTCTGATGTGAATGTGGGTTTGCTTTCTTTGGATCAGGAGAAGGCTTTTGACCGTGTGGACCACCAGTACTTGTTTAAAACAATGAAAGACTTTGGGTTTGGGGATGTTTTTTTGTCTTGGATGAGTTTACTGTATGCTGGGGCCTCATGTATGGTGAAGGTGGGGGGTGGTTTGAGCTGCCCCATCCTGCCCCATAGGGGTATTAGGCAAGGATGCCCAATTTCAGGACAGTTATATTGTCTGGCAATTGAACCAATGCTTTGTTTTTTAAGAGTGAGGCTTACTGGTTTCTCTGTGCCAGGGGTTATGAAGGGTCCCACGATAGCACTGTCTGCGTATGGCAGTTTTTATTACAGGGGGTGAGGATGTTAAGGTTCTCTCAAATGCTCTAAAGGTGTATGAGGGGGGCCTCCTCAGCAAGAGTTAATTGGGAAAAGAGTGAATCGCTGTGGGCAGGTCAGCTTCAGATAGGGTCCGCTCCACGTTTACCAGGGGGGCTTCAGTGGGGCAGAGATAGGATGTTTTTTTTCTAGGCTCCGATGTCTTTCAAAAAAAGAACTGGGAGGGTGTAGTGGAGAAGGTGTGTGCCAGATTGCCCAGGTGGAAATGGGTGCTACTCCAGCTGTCTTAAAGGGAAGGGTGCTGGTAGCCAATAACCTAGCCACCTCTACCCTGTGGCACAGACTAATGATTTTACAGCCTGATACAAGAGCTTCAGAGGACCCTTGTCAATTTCTTCTGGTCTGGGCAACATTGGATTAAAGCTGCAGCCCTGTACCTGCCACTGCACGAGGGTGGGCAAGGCCTGGTGGACATTTCTTCTAGGATCATGGCTTTCCGGCTTCAAGCAGCCCAGAGACTGTTGTACAGTGATGGTTCTAGCTGGTTCGATACAGCCTACATATTGATGAGGAGAGCGGGCTGTTTGGGCTTAGACAAGCACCTTTTCCTCTTAAAGCTAGAGGGGGGTGATTTGTCTGGCCTGACTCCATTCTATGAGTCTGCTATGCAGGCTTGGAGAGGCTAGAGGGGGGTGGTTTGTTTGGCCTGACTCCATTCTATGAGTCTGTTATGCAGCTTGGAGAATTTTCTACATGTCCCGTAAGGCCGGCACGCCACAAGGGATGTGGCTTTTTGAAGACCCTCTTTTTTATAACACTGTCATCCAGTCCCGTGCTATGGGTTCAGCCAGCCTACGTTCATGCCTGTTAGGTGTGGGGTGTACCAAGCTGGGGCCATCTGATGCGGAGCAGGAGTTGATCGTTGGAGGAGCTGGGAGTAAGAGCGGAGATCCGATCATCTCGCCTACTGAGGAAGGTCGTAGCTGAGGTCTGCGATTCCTTGCCAGTACTTCATCGGCAGTATGTGACTGATATTTCCAATTCTGATCGGTGGATGGATGGTCTGGATTATGTGTTCCCTGCGCTGAATGTTAGTGCTGCGGCAGGGGCATTAGAGGAGGAAGTGGGGATGCTACTTTCCTTCCATACCCCAGAGCTGGAGGAGTTCAAGGCGGTGGGAAAGAAGGCCATGTACATAATATGTGCAAAAGTGTCCCGTGGTCCTTCCCTGGAAGGGGTCAAATCGACGAGGTGGGCAGGTGTGTTTGGTCCAGGTGCCTCCCAAAAGGCTGTCTTTATATAAACTGCCTATTGATAAGAGGACAGCTGACCTCCAATGGAGGATAATACATGGAGCCATAGCCACCAACATGCATCTGGTACACCTGAATCCTACTGTTGGGGAGGGGTGTCCTTTCTGTGCTGAGTCTGAAACTCTGGCACATCTGTTTTTACAGTGTCTCAGGTTGGTCGGGAAATTGACCTGATCACTAGTTGGTTCTCAGCTCTGGGAGAGGTTTTCTCTTCCCAACTGTTTATATTTGGGCCAAAGTACAGGTTTAGTCGAACGGGTGTAGTTCTCTTACTTAACTTTGTGTCAGGGGCAGCTAAATTAGCAATTTGGAAGACACAAAAGAACAGTATTCGGGGACAGGGGTCTGTGGACGTGGTGGGCATGCTGGAGGGGATGTTGGCAGCGAGACTGAGGGTTGAGTTGTCCTATTACAAACTGATAAATAACATTGGGCTGTTTATTAGCATATGGGGTATTCAGAGGTTGTTGTGTTTAGTTATAGTGGAGGAAGATTTAGTGTTGTGTTTTAAATTGATGTTTAACCATGTTTTTGTTTGTTTGAGTGTTTATTGTGTTGTGGGTTCCCAGACCCAATAAAGTTTTTTTTTAAACTCAAACTCTCTCTCTCTCTCTCTCTCTCTCTCTCTCTCTCTCTCCTCTCTCCTCTCTCTCTCTCTCGTCTCCTCTCTCTCTCTCTCTCTCCTCTCTCTCTCTCTCTCTCTCTCTCTCCTCTCTCCTCTCTCTCTCTCTCTCTTCTCTCCTCTCTCTCTCTCTCTCTCTCTCTCTCTCTCTCTCTCTCTCTCTCTCTCGCTTTGTCTCTCTTCCTACCTCTCTCTCCTAATTTCAATTCAATTTCAATTTAAAGGCTTTATTGCCGTTTACATTGTCAAAGCAAGTGAAATAGATAATAAACAAAAGTGAAATAAACAATAATTTAACAAAAGTTAACAGTAAACATTACACTCACAAAAGTTCCAAAAGAATAAAGACATTTCAAATGTCATATTATGTCTATGTACAGTGTTGTAACAATGTGCAAATAGTAGTGCAAAAAGTACAAAAGGGAAAATAAATAATATGGGTTGTATTTACAATGGTGTTTGTTCTTCACTGGTTGCCCTTTTCTTGGGGCAACAGGTCACACATCTTGCTGCTGTGAAGGTACTCTGTGGTATTTCACCCAAAATTGGGTTTGTTTTTTAATTCTTTGTGGGTCGGTGTAATCTGAGGGAAATATGTGTCTCTAATATGGTCATACACTTGGCAGGAGGTTAGGAAGTACAGCTCAGTTTCCATCTAATTTTGTGGGCAGTGTGCACATGGCCTGTCTTCTCTTGAGAGCCAGGTCAGCCTACGGCGGCCTTTCTCAATAGCAAGGCTATGCTCACTGAGTCTGTACATAGTCAAAGCTTTCCTTAAGTTTGGGTCAGTCACAGTGGTCAGATATTCTGCCACTGTGTACTCTATGTTTAGGGCCAAATAGCATTCTAGTTTGCTCAGTTTTTTTGTTGATTCTTTCTAATGTGTCAAGTAATTATCCTTTTGTTTTCTCATGATTTGGTTGGGTCTAATTGTGTTTCTGTCCTGGGGCTCTGTGGGGTCTGTTTGTGTTTGTGAACAGAGCCCCAGGACCAACTTGCCTCCCGAGTGGCGCAGTGGTCTAAGGCATTGCAGTGCTAGCTGTACCACTAGAGATCCTGGTTCGAATCCAGGCTCTGTTGTAGCCGGCCGCGACCGGGTGACCCATGGGGCGGCGCACAGTCGTCCAGGGTAGGGGAGGGAATGGCCAGCGGGGATGTAGCTCAGTTGGTAGAGCATGGCGTTTGCAACGCCAGGGTTGTGGGTTTGATTCCCACTGTGGGTATGAAAAAAAAAATATATATATATGCACTAACTGTAAATCCCTCTGGATAAGAGCGTCTGCTAAATGACTAAAATGTAAATGTAGGTTAGGGAATCGCTTCCTTTTAGGTGGTTGTAGAATTCAACGTCTCTTTTCTGGATTTTGATAATTAGCGAGTATCGGCCAAATTCTGCTCTGCATGCATTATTTGGCATTTGACGTTGTACCCAGAGGATATTTTTGCAGAATTCTGCATGCAGAGTCTTAATTTGGTGTTGTCCATTTTGTTAATTATTGGTTGGTGAGCGGACCCCAGAACTCAGAACCATAAAGGGCAATGGGTTCTAAAACTGATTCAAGTATTTTGAGCCGGATCCTAATTGGTATGTCAAATTTTATGTTCCTTTTGATGGCGTAGAAGGCCCTTCTTGCCTTGTCTCTCAGATCGTTCACAGCTTTGTGGAAGTTACCTGTGGGGCTAATGTTTAGTCCGAGGCATGTATCGTTTTTTGTGTGCTCTAGGGCAACGGTGTCTAGATGGAGTTTGTATTTGTGGTCATGGCAACTGGACCGTTTTTGGAACACCATTATTTTTGTCTTACTGAGATTTACTGTCATGGCCCAGGTCTGACAGAATCTGTGCAGAAGATCTAGGTGCTGCTGTAGGCCCTCCTTGGTTGGGGACAGAAGCACTAGATCATCAGCAAACAGCAGACATTTGAATTAAGATTCTAGTAGGGTGAGGCCGGGTGCTGCAGACTGTTCTAGTGCCCTCGCCAATTCATTGACATGTATGTTGAAGAGGGTGGGGCTTAAGCTGCATCCCTGTCTCACCCCACAGCCCTGTGGAAAGAAATGTGTGTGTTTTTTGCCAATTTTAACCGCACACTTGTTGTTTGTGTACATACATTTTATAATGTCGTATGTTTTTCCCCCAACACCGCTTTCCATCAGTTTGTATAACAGACCCTCATGCCAAATTGAGTCAAAAGCTTTTTTGAAATCAACAAAGCATGAGAAGACTTTGCCTTTGTTCTGGTTTGTTTCTTTGTCAATTAGGTTGTGCAGCGTGAATATGTGGTCTGTCGTACGGTAATTGTCTCTCTCCCTACCCCTGTCAGTAGTTAATGTAACGTGGCAACGGTTTTAATGACCAGGGACCAGCCATAGACCCAGCCGTAGACTAGTATCCTTATATCCACTTCACTATACAGTACCCTATTCCCTATATAGGGCACTTCTTTAGACCTGGGCCAATATGGATCTGGTCAAAAGTAGTGCACTATATAGGTAACAGGATGCCATCTGGGACGCAGACACTGTGCAGGGTTGTGGGAGAGCAGTCGAACCTAGGCCTGGCCCTCTAGCTCTGCACTGTGGCTTTCCATCTCCTTCTAATCCCTTACCTCATCCCCTTTGCTGCCCAGGTTGCTATTACCATAGCCAAACTCAGTGGGGTTCAGTGTGAACCAGGGAAAGTTATGCTAATGCTAGCATAATGTTGAGTAGATACTAGCGCTAATGCTAATATTGCAGTACAGTAATGTAGTGTACATCTCCTGACTGGGTAGCAGAGATGCTATGTCAGATTGTGCTTGCTATTCTCTTTCCTCCTACAAGGGCCTGTGGTCTATTTATTATGTTATTCTCTGTTTTATCTGTATGCCTTTGGATGAGTGCCCTCCCTCCCTCCCTCCCTCCCTCCCTCCCTCCCTCCCTCCCTCCCTCTCCACTCACCTCGTACACATTGAACTGGCTCTGGCCCCGTGACAGGTCTCGGTAGCTGGTGGTGAATTCGCCGATGAAATCATGGCTGGAGGGTAAAGTACACAACAACAACAAAATGTCAGACTGTGTATATAGACAGTCCCTCTGGGGTGTAGAAATACGATGGATGTGTTGTGTACTTGGCTCAACAGAGCAGGAATGAAGCTGCTGAAACATACAGCGGTGTTGTAGTAGTGAAACATATAACGGTGTTGTAGTAGTGAAACATATAGCGGTGTTGTAGTAGTGAAACATATAACGGTGTTGTAGTAGTGAAACATATAGCGGTGTTGTAGTAGTGAAACATATAGCGGTGTTGTAGTAGTGAAACATATAACGGTGTTGTAGTAGTGAAACATATAACGGTGTTGTAGTAGTGAAACATATAACGGTGTTGTAGTAGTGAAACATATAACGGTGTTGTAGTAGTGAAACATATAACGGTGTTGTAGTAGTGAAACATATAACGGTGTTGTAGTAGTGAAACATATAGCGGTGTTGTAGTAGTGAAACATATAGCGGTGTTGTAGTAGTGAAACATATAGCGGTGTTGTAGTAGTGAAACATATAACGGTGTTGTAGTAGTGAAACATATAACGGTGTTGTAGTAGTGAAACATATAACGGTGTTGTAGTAGTGAAACATATAACGGTGTTGTAGTAGTGAAACACATAACAGTGTTTTAGTAGTGCTTTATCTTGTAAAACATGATGAGGAATATCCTAACACAAATGATACTTCTGCCATACATGCATAAATCATTTCCCGTCTGGAAACGAATCAAGTGGAAACATTATTGTGTGTATGTGCGTGTGCTGTTGCATGTCTGTGTGTGTCGCCTCCTTACCTGCCATCTCTGTCCCAGTCGTACACCTCTGCCTTGATTGTCCTGAAAAACAAAACACACCCAAGGATGAGGAATGTGTGTGTGCATATCTCTGTGTGTGTGTGTGTGTGTGTGTGTGTGTGTGTGTGTGTGTGTGTGTGTGTGTGTGTTAGTACATCTATCTACTTTCACTTAACCTCCACCAGTGTCCTACTGTCCTTCAGGGCAATATTCTAGAATTATCAGAAAGCTTCATTAGAATGAGTCTTTAGAATTTAAAGGGGCAATCTGAGATTCAAACAACAACAATGTAGCTCCTTGTTTGGTAAACAGCTGAGGGATGGGGCTGGATAAATTATATGTTGGGTTGTGATTGAGTAAGACCGCTGAACTAAGCTAATGAGGCATTTATAAGTTATATTCTTCAATAATAATAAAAGTCAAAAAATGGATGTACCAATCAATTCCAGATTACCCCTTTAAAATGCCTGAGAGCTGGACTCTTAAAATACTTTGTGTTTGGTTTCTACAGCAGTGAGACTGGCCATTAAAGCTCATTACGCATTTAGCAACACTGATAATTAAATCGATCTTAGCCAGAGCTTTCACGCCCTGACTCAGGGGACGTTTATTTGTTGAGTCAGGGGTGTGTATATTCTATGTTGTATATTTCTATGGTGATATGTTCTAGTATGTCTATTTCTATGTTGGCCTGTGTGGTCCCCAATCAGAGGCAGCTGTAGCTCGTTGTCTCTGATTGGGGACCATACTTAGGCAGCCTATTTGGCACTAGTTAGTTGTGGGATCTTGTTCCGTGTTAGGTATGTTTGTGTGCTACCTTGGACTTCACGTTTCGTTTGTTGTTTTGTCGAGTGTTTATTCCTTTAAATAAACGTGTATGCTTATCACATTGCGCCTTGGTCCGCCCAGTCTATAAACGACCGTGACAAGAGCAGTTCACAGAACACCCTTGAGACGAATGTTTGAGTGAATGCACATGAAAAGGTTTCAAAAGAGCATTTAAAGGGAGATGGAAGTAAAACCAAAACAATTATCCTATCAAGAGAATTTAAAGTTTTTAGGAAAGAAGGTGAGGAGGTTTAAAAACCACGTTAGCTAATTACATACTTAATAATAATCAAAGAAACCGATTAAGTGTGAAATGGCAATATGATTGGAAAATACGCCTTAGTAATTACAATGAATGTGGAGTTTAAATTGAACTTGCGTTAAACATAAAGACACTTACTGCTGCAAAACTTACTGCTGCTGAACTAACTGCTGCAAAACGTACTGCTGCAAAACGTACTGCTGTGAAACAGAATACCATCACAACCCAATAATGTGTACAACACAGTGACGACATAATACAGTGTTACACAGTGTTGCATAGCGTTACACAGTGTTGCATATCGTTACACAGTCTTGCATAGTGTTACACAGTGTTGCATATCGTTACACAGTGTTGCATATCGTTACACAGTGTTGCATATCGTTACACAGTGTTGCATATCGTTACACAGTGTTGCATAACATTACACAGTGTTGCATAGCATTACACAGTGTTGCATAACATTACACAGTGTTGCATAGTGTTACACATTGTTGCATAGTGTTACACAGTGTTATGTAGTGTTACACAGTGTTGCATAGTGTTACACAGTGTTGCATAGTGCTACACAGTGTTGCATAACGTTACACAGTGTTGCATAACGTTACACAGTGTTACATAGTGTTACACAGTGTTGCATAACATTACACAGTGTTGCATAGTGTTACACAGTGTTGCATAGTGTTACACAGTGTTGCATAGCGTTACACAATGTTGCATAACGTTACACAGTGTTGCATAGTGTTGCATAGTGTTACACAGTGTTGCATAGTGTTACACAGTCTTGCATAGTGTTACACAGTGTTGCATATTGTTACACAGTGTTGCATAACGTTACACAGTGTTGCATAGTGTTACACAGTGTTGCATAGTGTTACACAGTGCTGCATAACATTACACAGTGTTGCGTAACATTACACAGTGTTGCATAACATTACACAGTGTTGCATAACATTACACAGTGTTGCGTAACATTACACAGTGTTGCATAGCGTTACACAGTGTTGCATAGCGTTACACAGTGTTGCGTAACATTACACAGGGGTAAAAGACACTGATTACTGCATTTAGGTGAAGCAATAACGCAGGACTGCCAAAAGAAAACCAATCAAAATCTATTTCCTCACAGGAAATCTATAGCGTAATCTATACCGCCAGCTCGATACAGTATCTAAAGACGATCCATCCCCATCTCTCTCTCAGGGTCTCTGTCTTCCCAGGGTTCGTATTCAAACCATAGAAATATAATTACTAGAACGGTCATCCTCATTAATACCCATGATGGTGTAG